TATACCTATGTCTTTGGGCTAACGTGACACTCGTGGTCATGATGAAGAAATCATTATAGTTAGCGACAAACCTGATTTAAAACCCCCTACACTGCTGTGTCAAATATAACACAATAAAAATGCCACCAATAGTCCTCCGTGTGGGTAGGTTGTACAGTATGGGTTGGGTTGACTTGTTTCAGCTGCAGTGGAGATGAAGCGTGTTTGAAATTGCTGAGGAAAATGGGAAAAACGAATGCAGCCTTTTTAATAGTTTGACATAAGCAAGATGGCGCCGGCAGCATTCTGCTACTGCTGGACCACAGACAAACAGAACGCTAAGATTAGCTGGGAATAGGATCAACCGGGACAAGATCGCAGTGCGTTTGGTTGGATGAAAAGTGTTTTCTTTTACTGCTGTGGGTTTGTGGTGTTTTTAGAAGTTAACAAGAAGATAACAGTCCTTCGCACCAGCTCTAGCCCTCCACCCTAGTTCCAATCCTAAAACTTTGTGCCGCAGTAAAAACTGAACCAATTATTCTTCGACGCATGTGTTAGTGCCACATATTAATAGCATTAGCAGTGCATTATTATTGTGTTTGGCGTCTGAGAATTGTGAAATCTCGAGCCTGTCAAAATCATGAACGATATAATTGATAACAGCAGTGATCGTGTTACAGTCAATTATGTCTCTATCAATTCATGTTAGTCTTTTGTAGTAAACAGCCAGGGATAGATTTAAGGCTAATGCCAATTCTTCACAAATTACCTAACACCAAGTAATGTCATATTTTATAATAAATCAAAATCAATAACATCAAAAAACAAAAAGAGAAAATCTTCTCATCTCATCACATCTTTAAAATGTTGCCCCGAGGTTAATCCCTGTTTTTTGCTAAATAACATACTAAAATAAAATAAAACATGTGGTTAATACATGATACAATATAGCTATTTTACTATTGTCTTGTTTTTTAAAGTATTGTTTAGTCTTTGATCATAAGTGAATAAGCATTTCAGAAATCCTACCCCTGTGGTATTTTTTTTTTTTTTTTTAAATCATTCAGTCTTGGTATTCTAGAATGACAAGGACTGCTTGTTATACATTTACAATACTCAATCACAATACTTTTCTGCTCCACAAAGGTGTATTGAGATGTAAATATAACCCTTCCTGTATTGGGCATTTTTTTAAAAAAGCTGGATGTTTTGATAAATGTTTTTTCATTATCAACATTTTTATTGTCATTTATACTCTTTCGCTGCATATTTGTCATGACCTGTATCTTTAAAGCTTAGCTCAGTGGCTTAAGGACTTGAGAGGATGAAACAGCTTAATCCAGTAGTCGTTTCATTATATATTACATATTTATTTAAAGCATAAATCCACAGCGATATCATGAATTATTTTGAAAAGGCTTTTATCTGCTAACTAATCCCGTTCTATGAAAAGAAGCCCACAAATGCCCAGGATTATATAACAAAATACAGAGATGATCTAAATATACATACGCTGCCTCTGAAGATTTTTGTGTTTAAATTGTGCTGTAGTCCATTCTGTTTGAGTAATTAACACTGTCCTCTTATTATTATTTTTTTCCCGTTCAGGTGCCTGCAGATGACTCTGTGGGTTTGCTAACGGAGCCCCAGGTGGCCATGTTCTGCGGAAAGCTCAACATGCACATAAATGTGCAAACTGGCAAATGGGAGCCTGACCCTTCAGGCTCCAAGAGCTGCATTGGCACCAAGGAGGGCATCCTGCAGTACTGCCAAGAGGTATTTAAAGTGAATGAGACAGCAGTTCAGCTGAAGAGACAGGGATGAGGTTGTAGGCAGCAAGTGGACGTATCGCAGCTATTTGCTAGTGATTTAATATGAGATAAGTGAGATCTCTCACTGTCATGCAGGTATATCCAGACCTGCACATCACAAATGTGGTGGAAGCCAACCAGCCAGTGAGTATCCAGAACTGGAGCAAGAAAGGTCGAAAGCAGTACGGCAGTCACACTCACATCGTGGTGCCCTACCGCTGCCTGGGTAAGGAGGTTCACTCGTGCATCATGATTATAGTTGTAATTGTGCTTGTTATAATATATATTTGAATGAATATATAAAAAATGGGACATGTCACTTTTGCAGTTGGAGAGTTTGTCAGCGATGCTTTGCTTGTTCCTGACAAGTGTAAGTTCTTGCACCAGGAACGCATGGACCAGTGTGAGAGCCACCTACACTGGCACACTGTTGCCAAAGAGGTGAGTATTTCATCTCACTTTAACAATTTCACTGTAATTAGTAGTTTATTGCTCTCTTAGTGCCATTGTATCTGCTACTTCTTTAACTCTCTCATTAAATTTGTCGGCACTACAGATTGATTCTTACAGATCAGATAAATACTGTTTTGAGGTTTCCTGTGTGCCTTACAGTATTTTCTCTAATACTGTCTCATCTGCAGTATTTACATCTGTATGTGCTTTTAAAGCACATTATAGTAGAACAATTTGCATGTTGTAAAGAAGAAAATATCTGCCTTTTACTTAAACTAGTCCTGTGGTGACCGCACAATGAATCTCCATGACTACGGGATGCTGTTGCCATGTGGCATCGACCGTTTCCGAGGAGTCGAGTTCGTCTGCTGCCCAGCAGTGGCTGAACGAGGCACGGACAGCACAGAGCAGGACACGCAGGAGTCAGACGTGTGGTGGGGTGCAGCTGAAACGGAATACGTCGATAACAGGTGTGAATCATCCCTCAGCACACACAAGTATTGTACAAGTCAGGTGTCATACAATTACTTCCATTAATTTGCAGAAACCTACCACATTATATCCCTACTTTTAATGATTTGCTACACATCTTAATCCAGAGCAGCAGATATTATTTGATTGATGTCTCCCACTGGTAAATTAAATGAATCATCTGTAGAAGAACAGCACCAGTGGGCTCCGACTCTGTATTTGGATAAAGTGCTAACTTTTTTTGCCAAGAACTGCAACACGCTGGTTTTCTAATCCAACTTTAGACTTGTGAATCAGCGAAGCGTGGGTATTAAGAGGATTGAGGCATGATTCTGTCAAATTCTGAACCAACTGCTCCCTTCACAGCATGTCACATCCGGCAGACACAGAGCCCACGACCACGGAGGATGACGAAGACGAGGATAAACAGATAGAAACGTTGGAAGTGGACGAAAACGGTGACGGGGAAGAGGATGAAGAGGACACAGAGGAAGAAGAGGAAATGACAGATGAGCGGGACAGTGACGAGCGTAATTCCAACATTGCCATGACAACCACCACCACCACAACCACTGAGTCGGTTGAAGAAGTTGTCCGAGGTAGGAGAGCAAGAAAACACAGAGCCAGCCTTTTTTTTTTCAAGTACTGTCTGTGATTATTTGTTTTGTCACATTATTGTTTCTTTTTATAACAAGTGACATTTATGTGTTGTCCATGGTATCCAAATGTTGACTTTTTACTTTAATCTGTTGTTTGCGTTTGCCCGTGTGGACACATCACAGCTGTATGTTGGGCTCGTGCTGAGTCAGGCCCTTGTCATGAGATGCTGGAGCGATGGTACTTCGCACCTAAAAAGGGCCGCTGTGTTCCCTTCTTGTTTGGGGGATGTGGGGGCAACAGGAATAACTTTGGCTCAGAGGAATACTGTATGGCTGTCTGCAGCAGCTCGCGTAAGTCCCAGGACCAGAGCTGTCAGATCCTTCAAGTGTCCATGGTACAAGCCTGATTCCTGTCCTCAGGCTGCTGCAGATTGTCTCTGTGTCTCACAGTCACTCTCTCTGTCTTCTCTGTTAGTGTCAGATTGTTCTTAACCACTCAGAGCACTAACAATGGGATTTGGTTGCTCATTATCCAGACTTGCAGGATTTTTTTAGGAGACAGTTGTCATCTTTCATGCAAACTGTTAGGTAAGAAGATTGATTCCATTTTTGTGCGTGAGCATTTCTAAAGCTGCTGCCAGCCACCAGTTATCACAGCTCAGTGCAGGGACTGAAAATAGTGACAGCTGGCCTTGTATTTCATATATTTAGTGCAAACCTGAAATTCATCTGCAGACAGCAGTTTCATTTTAAACACGAACAGGGATTGGTCCAACCAACTTCTCCTTTATATACAATATGTAATTTTGTATCTCATGGTGTGTTCACATTTGTTGTTTCAGACAGATCCTGGTTGAAATTCTCTGTTAATTGAACATGTGAGAAGGCTGTACGACTCATATCCTTTGGTTTGTGTGATATACAAAGAAGAACACTGTACAATGAAGACATAAAGTGAAAACATTTAACCCAGAAGCAGCCTTGTTTTTGAAACCTGGGTCCAGAGCCAAGGCTGACGGACATAACAAAGAGTCGGCCAGGTAAATAGACACATTATTCTGGTATTACATTAGCCACACATTATTATGTTTTATTCAAGCGTTGCAAAGAAGGAAAAAGGAACATAATGACACTGCTATAGCTTGAAATAAAGCTTCTTATTTCTTTTATTTATGTATAGGAGCATTTTAAAGAAAATGGCTACATTGTCATTATTTAATTTATCTGAATTTAAATATTTTTCCCTTTGAAGGTGAGATAGACCCTGGTGTGGCTCATCCTCACTTGCCTGCTGTATGTGAATTGTTGAGTGAAGTTATCAGCAGGTGACACTGTGAGCGATAAGTGGATAATGACTCTGTACAAGGATATCAAACAGAATGTAAAAAATGTTTTGGTGTGGACATGAGGTATTAAAACTGCAAATGTGAACACATCTATATAAGTAATGTATAATCATGCATTACACTAAGATAGTATGTGAATGTTTATTCGCCTTTAGATTGTTAGATGTATTACCTGTAAAATATTACCCACGTACACTGTTCCTCCTGTTTTTAAATTCAAAGTAGAGCGTTGTTTGGGTGATGTTTAAACACGACATGAAAGAAAAAGTTAAAAATAAATAACAAAGCAATTATCAAGCGTTGCTGTTGGAGAGCAGCCATGATCTCATCATCTGTTTAACGAAATAACATTTCTTCCACCATTTTTTCTAATGGATTTCTGTTACAGCATGTGGATGATTGAACACTGGATCGTTCACATCAACATACTTGCATGCTTTCCAATCCAAAATGCAGTTGCAAGGTCTTATTGCTGTCCACTCATCTGAACTGGAAGTTCTGGTTAATGTACAGTTAATGTGACTCGTCCAAAATAATGTGTTCACGAGCCTGGTGTGTGTGTGAGCGAGAGAGAGTGAGAAAAGTGTTGTAAAAAGGTTGTTGGGTTGATTTGCTGTTTCCACTCAGACTCCTGAGAGGTTCAGTGACGCCCTGATCCTGACTCAACACTTTGCCTTATCTTCACTCTCCCACATCAAACAGTGACTCAAATGGACATGTAAACAGACTTGCACTGGAGAAGCCGTCACTCTTTTCCTCCTTGTTCTCTTTGTGTGCCTAACCTGTGATGTTTTAATAATATGTTGTTATTATCTCCTATAATAACTGTTCTATGTCTTGAACTCCTGAGCTGTTTTTTTGTTTTAGACCTGACAGGATCAGTGCTATGCTGCATATACACTTTCCTGCATCCAGTTTTACTTACATTCCTTTTATCTGATTCACTGCTCCCTCACATAATGCTGTTTTCTTCCCTAGTCAGCATTTAACCCCCCCCCCTACTGTTGTCCACTCAGTGCCCACCATGGCCCCTAGTCCTCCTGATGCTGTGGACCAATATCTTGAATCTCCGGGTGACGACGGTGAGCACGCTGACTTCCAAAAGGCTAAAGAAAGCCTGGAGGCTAAACACCGTGAAAAGATGTCTCAGGTATGTGTGTGTTTTGTGTAGTATGTATAGATCTGCCATTCAGAGAGTCTCCAGATATGACCAGTGGTTACAAGGACTTTTCCTCATTATTCAACAATTACCCAAATCCCTGATCTTGACCTGTTTTATGTCCAGGTGATGAGGGAGTGGGAGGAGGCTGAGAGACAGGCGAAGAACCTCCCTCGTGCTAATAAGAAAGCTGTCATTCAGGTGGGACATGACACACAGTCATCTCACAGTATTTGTATTCACGTGAAAAATGTTTTCAAGGTTTTCAACACAACCACCTACACACTGGTCAGCCAGTGTTATGTGTTTTCGTGCTGCAGTTCTGTCTCTTATTGCCCACATGGGTAGTTTATTATGGTAATTAAACAATGTCAGCGCTTTGGATATTTTTAAATATCAGGGGCAAAGCAATTTTATACCTGAAGATGTACTTTATTGCTAAATAAGCTAATGTCTCTTAATTTAATGGCAAAGTGTCTAGGTGAGGTGTTTAAACCAAGTTACATTTTTGTTGCTACTCAGATTAAGTGACACTTCAATTAAAATTCACCATTTTTGTGAAAGCTCTTCTCACTTTTTGTTCAGCTGATGCAGAAAGTTACATTTGATTTATCAGTTCACTGCATATTTATTAAAACCCAACTTAAAGTACTGATGTAGGTACAGTGAATACCCAAACGAATATATTTATTCTGGTATTGGTTTGTAAAAAATGTTATCAGGAAAACCCTAATGATGAATAAGTCAACAGGTTGTAGTAAGGTGCTTTTTTCCATGCACCATCTTTGATATGCAGCACTTCCAGGAGAAGGTGGAGGCTCTGGAGCAGGAAGCAGCAGGAGAGAGGCAGCAGCTAGTGGAAACTCACATGGCTCGTGTAGAGGCTCTGCTCAACAGCCGGCGACGCCAGGCTAGGGAAAATTACCTCGGTGCCCTGCAGGCCAATCCCCCACGGGTAACTGTTCCCTCATCCATAACACACTGTAGCACTTTTCTATGAACACAGTAAATAGCTTTTACATGTGGTCATGGGTGTGTGCACCAGCTCTCATGCATAAGTAGACATTAACATGACACAGCTGACAAACAGTTTTCTGTGTAGCTGTTTTTCCCCCCACTTATTTTGCTTTTATTTCTGGTAAGTAATAAAATTAGAGTGTAATTTTAACATCTCTGCCCCCTGCAGGCCCGTCAGGTGTTGAGTCTCCTGAAGAAGTATGTCCGTGCAGAACAGAAGGACAGACAGCACACACTCAAACATTATGAGCATGTCCGCACAGTTGATCCCAAGAAAGCAGCACAGATCCGACCTCAGGTACTTTACCTCCAACTCAAAACGTATTGTGTTATTGTGTCTTTTTCCTAATGCTGTAACTGAAACTTCTTAACTTTCTTTCGACTTTAGGTTTTGACCCATTTACAGGTGATAGATGAGAGGATGAATCAGTCATTAGGTCTGCTCTACAAAGTGCCCTCTGTGGCAAACCAGATCCAGAACCAAGTCTGTAAGTGTTGACTCTCTATGTTATTTTTAACACCAGTCCAACGGTGATTTTTGTTTTTTAATTTTAATCTGCACAGAAATTAAGTTGTTGAAAGAGGTGGTGTCAAAAAGAAAAACATGTTTAGTGTTGATGAAAAGAAGAAGTTTTATTATGGATTACAATAAAAGTTGCTCTTCACTTCATTCCACAAATTCCTTTTAATATGAGTATTATTTTTGAGATAGTCCCTTAGCCATTTCAAAGAATGTCTTATGTCAGTGGTTCCTCTTTCTGCAGCCACTCCTGTTATAAATTACTCCCCCCTCTCCGCCCAGATGATAGTGTGTTAGTGTTGGCCTTGTACATTCTTTGACAAGGGGATTTCTTCCTCTCTTTTACCATCTAGTAGATGATGAGATTATCTCAAGGTAAGACTGAAGGCAATTGAGGTTAAAATTCAAACCTCTAAACCTCTTGAAGTCATGCAATACTTTAAGTGGATAAGGATCTTCAAACAATCAAATCCTAGTGGTAATAGAGTGATGGATTCTTGGCAGTGAAATTCTATCCCAGTCTACTGGGAAACTTTCACATACAGTAAAAACCTATTGTGTTTAGCACATATGTTTCCAACTAGTTTCAATTTGCTTATTAAGAAATGGAGTCCAATTAAACCATCACAGTGCTGCTCTGAGAAAACACAGGTTGCACTAATTAAGCAACCCTGCAAAACCTCATGTGCTGCTGAAAGATGATTTAACGATGAGATTAACACAGTGTCATGGGTCTAATGATGAAGTGTGTGCTGAAACAGCAGCATCTTTGCAAGGTGTCTTCAGTATTCCAGGGTATGAACTTGAGTTAGAATGCAATCATTAAATTCCACCTGAGTTCTAGTTGTTTGGTTTTTTTTCTACCATCTGTTGTGACAGCCTGCGTCTCGATGCCTCACTTTTTCCACTTTCTTCCATAGCGATCATAGTGCAGAGAGTTCAGTCGGAGCTGTCTCAGCAAGTATCGTCTCTGCAGAGCGATGGGCGGGTGAGTGAAGCAGCACCAGCTTACATATTCATGCATGGAGCAGGTCCTGTGTAAACTGCACTCTCTTCCTCTCTCTCTTTCACAAACACAAATATAAATAGACTCACCCCCCACCTCTGTGATAAAAGACACTGTCAAAGTCATGTACACAGCTTAGCTGCAGACATAGTTGATGGAAATGCAGAATAAATGAGGTGTTAAAGTCAGACAAACAAATTTAGAAAACAAGCAGATTAATATTAAGAATGTTTATATGGATGACACTGCATATGTGTGGTAAAAATAGGATTAGCCCAGAATTCCAGTGCTTACTAATCCCTGTGTCTGCAGGTGGACGGCAGAGTGAGTTACGGTAACGATGCTCTGATGCCAGATCAGGCCTACAGTTCTGCTCCTATGGACCCTGGCCTGGATGGATTTGGCTTCATTCACCCTGAGAGCTTTAACCAGCCCAACACAGAGAACCACGGTAAGACGAAAACCACACCCAAACATATGCAAAAAAAAAATGCTGCTGTTAGGTCTGCTTGCTAACGGCAAAACAACACAGTAGCATCTCTGTTTGCGCTTGCTGATGAGATGAAGTCAGTCATTTAACTGCCATCTTGGGGTAAAATTGAGTAACTGGACATTTACATTGTTTTTCACTTTTTGGAAGATTTCTCTGATGAGTTAAAAAACTGAAGCCTTGTTCCATAGAAACTCATTTTTGAGTAAAAAGTTGAAGTTATACAATTTAACAGTTTTTCGATATTTTTATTATTTAAATTTCTCTTGCAGTTGAACCTGTTGATGCACGTCCTAATCCAGACAGGGGACTGCCCACAAGACCTGGTGAGTGTTTTTGTGTGTAATAAACAAAACAGTATAAAATCTCAAAATATGTGTGAAAGTATATTATATATTTCTCCACACTATTCCTAGTATAAACATTACCTTTCCCACCTGCTGTCCTCAGTATCTGCCCTGAAGCCAGATGAGATGCCTAATGTTCGTATGGAGACAGAAGAAAGACAGAATGCTGGTTATGAAGTCTACCATCAGAAGCTGGTTTGAAAACCTTTCATCCTCACAACTCTTTCAAATGTCCTGCTCCTACTGCACCTTGTTCTCTGAAATGATTTCCATTTTCAACCCTAGGTATTTTTTGCTGAGGATGTCGGTTCTAACAAAGGTGCCATTATTGGGCTAATGGTCGGAGGTGTTGTCATAGCAACTGTTATTGTCATTACCTTGGTGATGCTGAGAAAAAAACAGTACACATCTATTCACCATGGTGTAGTTGAGGTAAAAGGCAACCACTGATAGCTTCTGTTCAACAGTAAACACACAGAGTGCCAGATTTTTTGACATGAGCCTTTTGTTCTGTTTGTGGTTTTAGGTCGATGCAGCTGTGACACCAGAGGAGCGCCACCTGGCCAGAATGCAGCAGAATGGCTATGAGAACCCCACCTACAAGTTCTTCGAGCAAATGCAGAATTGAAAAACCTGGTCCATGCTTTTCTTCCCTGGCCAGTTTCAACTACAACACTCCCACCAGTCCAAGGGTACTGTGGGCTCTGGTCCTGTGCAGACATCCTCCACACCTTCAGTCACACACCGTGCCAAGAGCAGGAGTGAGGTTGAAGGTTTGGAGCTGAAATCACAACTCACTCAGTACGTTTACACACACAGCCGAGCTGAAGTTAGCCTGCTTGACACTTTGAACTTTAAACTATGGTCGATGACTGACAATTCAATTGTGCCATAACTGACGGACGGGCAGAACATCATGATGGTAACCAGTCTCATAACCAGTCTGACCAGTTCTCTAGATTGATGTGATGTTATCTAAAGGTGCAGGACAATGGTACAAGCCACAGACACAGCAGCATCTAAACAGGTTTTTATGTGGAGTGTAGTACAATGTGAGACTAATAAAACGCATACATAAACACACACACACACGCACGTGGATATGTATCTAAGCATCTAGTGAAGTCAAGATGAACTAAACAACTATTAGCTGTGTATGTGTGAGTCATCTTTATGGAAGTTGTGGTTAGAGCCGCAGCCAAATATTTTATTAAACTTTTATTCAAAGGTGAACATCTTATTTAATGTAAACGTACTGTGTGAGAAGTTTTAGCCAAAGGAACCTGCCATTGATGGAACAGAGCCCCCCTTATCCCCTGACTGTGCAGATTAACACTCCCTCCCACTGTTCACTGAATTTTGTAAGACAGAGGACTCTTGTTTAAAACCATCAAGCTAGCCCAGCTTCCCAGAACAAAAATGCCAGTACTATAGTTTGTACCAAACGACGCCCATCAACCACCCAGTTGGATATTTATATAGAAACACTATAAAAGTGCTGCCACAGCTGAGACGTGCACAAACCAGGGCCCAACATTAATCTAGCTGTTGCTTTATTTTCCCCCATCCTTCCCCTAAAAACTCAGATGACAGCTGTGCTGTTCAATGACATAACAGCTCTTAGTGCCGGCAACAGTAGAAGGAGGCGGGGCTCTCAGAGAGCCTCTCCTGGAGTGTTTCAGGTTGAGTTTTTTTCCAAGAAAAAAAAATTAAATAAATATAAAAAAGAAGAAAAATATACATAATCAAACATGAAAAGATAAAAAAACAAATATTTTGGGTTCTGATTTTTGTTTTTATTTGTAACATATTACACCAGAGATTAGCTGTAAGTATATGTAGTGCATGGCCATATTGATGACAGATACAGTTTACCTGTACGTCCCAGGTCCTCTCAGTAGATATTTCGTAGCAGGATCGTACATACGTAGCGTCTCCGCTGTGATCTTGTGACATGAGGAACAAAGGGTATTCAGAACCCGGTCTGCTTTTTGTGCTCACACAGACTTGCTTTAACTGAATCCTAGCTCCTTCAAGCTCAGCCCCCACCCACCCTGCTTCACTGGTTGTGTTAGCTGCATGGGCCAAAACAATGCTCTCTTATAACTGTATGTAATATATGAAGTGTAATAGCATCCGAAAGGAAGACAATTGTGTTACTGTTTGCGTTCTATGCACTCTGTCATTTTTTTTAAGTCTGATTATCATTATTATGACTATAATTATAAACAGATACTGTTGCTGTTAAGTCCCTGAGAGCAATTCACTCTGTCGCTGCACAACTGTTATTTTTTTATTATTATGAGTGTGTATCATTCCAAAGTTTTTTTTCATTCCACCATCTTTTTGGATTGTAAATATTTGGAAGATGGAGTTCTCACTTTTCACACTCTGTCTTTCTGATCGTCTTGTCTTTCTGGCTTCGTCCACATTGTTGTACAGTCCATTTGTTAACATCTGTGTGAGAGAATTTGACTTTAAAAAAAAAACGGTGAGATTTTCAAATCATCCATTTTATAGGTGGTCCAAACGTTAACATTTGTTCACCACACCGTGCTAACATTATATATTTTTCTACATTTAACTGTGTGAACATGTGCATCTGCTCGTCCTGTAGTGGAAACGTTGTCTGTTGTCTGTATTTGTCCCTGAGAACCAGTCCTCACCCAGAGGTAGAGGACTGTTGGAGGATGACATCACAGTTCACCGTCACCCTCATCATCATCCTACCACTCACCCAATTTGTTTTGACCAGGTTGCAAATATCACAAATGTGACTGATTATTGTGCATTTGTAACAGAGATATACAACACATATCACCTCTACACACCACAGTCCGCACGTGTACAGAAAAACCAAGTGAAGCCCTTATTCAGGTGAATGTCAAACATTTGTATCGATGCTCAGTTTGGGTGGCCTCAAAGGATTGTGACAAAAAAAATGTGCTTTTCTTTTCCTTCTTGACTCAGTGACCTTTTGTCTGTGTGTAGTTTAATGAACCATATGCTTAGATTAAGAGAAAGCTTTCTACACTCACTATACCATGAATAAAATTTTGAATGTACATACATCTTTGTTGTTTTCTGTTATTTTTATTGTTTAAGGGGAATGATTTAGCTACATCTAGTCTTGTACTTGTACCTGAGAGTTCTGCTGTGGGGACTGTGTTCTTTGTGTTCTCTGTCCCTCCTTCAAACACAGGCAGCTTCTGTACAAGGTAACCCCACTGAGTCTTTTGACTTAAGGTTTTGTGTCCTCACTTCAGATGACAGGCTTCAGCTACAGTTTGTGTTATCTCCCTCTATGTTGTTATTATCATACTTCAGTCTGGTTTGGAGGTTTTCCCCAGCCCTTAGCCTCAGAATTCATTCCTGAAGTGACTGTCCTTTCCAACACTTCAGTTGCAGCTTGGGTTAAGCAATCCATTGTTGTCCTAGCAGTTATGTTAGGGTCTTTAGATCAATAAAAAAAGCTTACTGATGTATGTTTTATTAACTTTGTTTTATATCTTTGCATATTTTCTGGAAAGCTCTTCAGTTCCCTTTCCCCTGCTCCAAGTATTAACATTTTTTCACCTCTGAACTAATTATATTTGTTTTATGTTATTATAAACTCAAACTAAATGTTTTTTAAATCAGTAAGTGAGCAATGCGTGTACATTAAATATAAACCTTATTAACTTAATTTCACAGGTCATTACTATGTTCATTTTGTGTTATGCCTGTAATAGCTTAGATTTAAGGAGCTGACTGGTGACATAATTGGTTTTATACGTAAAGAAAATGAATATGATTCCCCTAAACAAAGCTCTAGAGTCAGAGATGCTTTGGTAAAATCCCATGGTTCTGCAGGAAAGGGAATGAAATAACTTAGACGTTATGAAAAATGCTTGCTGCTTTATTTCCCCCTAGTGGACAAAAGGGTCCAGCCTTATAAGGGGACGGCCACTAAATAAAATACAAAAACAGATTCTCTTATAAATGGAAAAATATGAAAATACACTTGCCCTTATGGCTATCAAAAACATTAAGTACCAGTATATACAGTGTAGTTGGGGGGTTGTTATCTGAACTACAGACGAGGGACACGTTACAAAGCTTTTCAGTCACACGTTCAAGCATTCAGTCACATGCACAACAGCATTATATCAGATTTTGCTGCAAAATACTGCAGCTCATCCTGCACGCACTTGTCTATAGTTGAAGCAAAAAGAAGGAAAAAAAAACACCTTCACCTTCCTTTAGTCTAACTGGACTAAAGTGTAAAGTAGTAAAAGATGTTAATCCTTGCGTTTTTGTGCTTGAACTAAAATTAGAGAAAAAGAAAAGAGGAGTCGGTCTTATTTCCAGACGGCCTGGTTACTTCAACTGTCCTTTTCTAGTGAAGTGGCCAGGGTCACCGTGGTGAGGGGCTGGCTGATGCCGTGAATCTGCATGCGAGCCATTTTCTTCTGCTCGCACTCTGTCACCAGGGTGTTGAGCTCGGCTGCACTGTAGCCAATCAGAGTTCTCAGGTCACACACAAACTTATAGACGAAGCGCTTGCCCTGCACTTTGCTGATCATGTCTCCGTCATAGTAATACCTGCAAGAGAGCAGGAGAATGAGATGGTTACACTGATGGAACCTGCTGTTAAACACGGTAGAAGAAGACGATGACCAAGACAGACCTGAGAGCTCTGCTGAGTTTCTCGTAGTTCATGGTGGGCTTGTTTTTACGCTGGCCCCATTTCTGAGCCACCAGTTCGGGCTGGTTGAGCTTGAACTCACCCTCCTCACCCACCCAGGAGATGCAGTCTCTTGCATCCTTGTCCGTCAGTAGCTCCAGCAAGAACTGCCACAGTTGAATCTGACCATTGTTACCTGACACAACACACTCACAGAGTAAAGTCTCCAAAACCCATCTTTCATTTTTATAGAAGGAAAAAGGTTTCAGTTTCATCGTTACCTGTGCGGTTTCCAGGCGAGCTGCGCTCCTCTCCTCCTGAGATTCGTGGCGTTCTGGGGCCTCGGCTCTGCTTCAACACCTTAATGGCTGTGGGCGTGTTCACCTGAGCTGGTATGATCTGCACAGCTGCAAACACACACGCACACACACAACATTAACAAGACTGTTGTTATGCTGATGTTTAATGTGCCTATGAATAATAGATATTACATCCTAGAATAAAACAGCAAATCCTCATATTTGATGACTAAGATGTAGCATGTTTAATTTATTTGACAGAAAACTAATGCAAAGTTCTAATAAAAAGTGGTAATATTGAAATTAATGTATTGATAACAACAAGTCTGTTGTAAATTGTTTAAATAATATAATTTAACAAGACGCTGACTTCAATACTACACTTACGCTGGTCAATTGTGACTGTAGCGTCTCCTCCAGACTGATCCTGACTCGCCAACACATCTGAAAAATACACAGGAGAAACATTTAATATACACTCAAACTCAGTGGAGCCTCTTCCCACCTCTCTCCGGACCCTGAGAAAGAGGTCATGTTTCCCAAAACACTCTCACGTACATTTGCGCAGGAGTTCCAGATGACTCCAGAGAATCTCTCCATTAGGTACTTTCTGAAGGAACTCCTCCTGGCTGAACGAACAGAGGTCTTTTCCTTGGATGTGAATGCTGCCTATCTCCATCTCATCAATGTTGAACTCCTTCATTACCCACACAGCCCAGTGGATTACCTGATCAGCCGTCCACAGCACGGGGTCTGGGGTCGAAGAAGAAACTCCATGAACTCAATCACTTTTTTTAAATCAACTTAAGATTAAGGTTGAACTCTATTGATTCCAAGGCTTTGTGGCTTTCCTCACCGTATGGTATCCCCAGGCGAACCTGCTCTTTGCGGTAGCCCTCCAGTGCGGCCGCCCATCGTGTGACCTGTTCAGAAGTCTCATCAGAGAGACCAGACCTGTCCACAGCAATCAGCTGTCCTTCCTCCACCAGAGTGCCCTCTTCTCCCGCTGCGTCCGGATCAATCACCACTTCTACTGTTTCTACTGGCTTCACTATCTCCAAAATGTTCAGCTTTTCCTCACCTGCGACGGGGTCACAGAGAAAGGATATAGAAAATGGTCACAAAACAGTGCACTGTGAATTGGATCCATGTTAAATTTGTTATTGAATTGTTATTCAAAGAGCCAGTTCACCTGGTTTGGCTATGATCTGCAGGCTGAGTTGCACCGTGCCGTCTGTTTTTACGCCCTGATCAAAAAGGCTGTGATCAGGATGAAGCTAAAAGGGAGAACACGCAGATATTACTAGTTCTGGAACTTCTGAGAATAGTTTTAAAGTACACTTTGGACCAGTGCCATTCTAACCTGTATGTCCTGCAAGCAGATCTCATACGCATCCAACGATATTTGGACACGAGGCTCCAAAAGCTTCTTCAAATTTCCCACAGGTTCATTGATGTCAATGTCTTGCTGGATCAAGTCTGATGAAGTAATCGTTTGCTCTTCAATGCTACAAATAGAAGACAACGCTCTGTAATTGTGAAGTAACCGCATGAGCATTAATTTGACATTGTGTATCATTTCACTCACCCCTCCTCCAGACACGCCTGTTTCTCCCGTTCGTCAATCTCAATTTCTATCATCTCTTCTGTTTCACTCTTAGACATTCTGCTGAAATAGAAAAAAAACTTAACTTTTTTTACACACCTGTACTTACTTAGCTTCATTGGATTTACATACAAGGTGGCCACTGACACCACTAGAGGGAGCTGTACGAACAGTGATTCCAGGAAAGGCATGTAAACACACAAGTCTTCGATGACTTTAAAGTTATTATTTTGATTATGGATTATTCTCCCTTCGGTTTGTTGGTGTAAATTAACATATGGTTGGAAACATGTATGTATTTACATCATGATGACACCAGCAAAATGTTTAAAGCCAATGGCACAGTAATTGTAGTAAAATAAAATACAATTACAGTGACAACTACTACAGGTGAATATTTACAACTTTTTCAAGACCAATTTCGATAATTTCTAGGTAGGTTTGGTCAATCTCTGGGACATACTTAGCGTTAGCTGTTTTCAGTTATTCTTTGTTTTTTATTGTAAATACTATATTTTGGACTGCATTTTACAACACAGAAATTCAGAACTATGCAACTTTTCACCTAGAAAATTTATTTTCTTTAATTATTTTTATTAGCTTTACTTCTGTTATTACCAATATAGGCTATTCATATTTTAATATATCTGTCTTTACTTTGAAACAACTGTTTAACAACATAGCTAACATTATAGAGTAAGCTTCTGGGCGGTCTGTGGTGTGATGTGGCAGCAATGTATGCTACAATATATTATGTCCAAAAAGGTGCTTAACATGTCTCAGGGGGAACTGGTGAACAGGCAGGGCAGTAAATGTTATCACTGATCATCTGGTCATCCAGCAACTGCTGACATGTTGCAGCCATATGAGGCTGGGCATTGTCATGTATTATAATCATATAATCATTGGTCCTTAATGCTTCATGGAGTATGTTTCTGACTGTTTGGGCTGAAACATGCACACATGTAGCCTGTCAGAGGTTATTTTGGAGGGCTCTGGCAGTACTCCTCCTGCTCCTCCTAGCATAGAGAAGCAGACAGTGGTCCTGCTGCTAAGGTGTTGCCCTTCGACAGCCCCCTTATGGGCCTTTCTTCTAGAATATCCTCCATGCTCTTGAGGTTGTGCTAGAACACTGCAAACCTTTTGACCACTGCACTTAATGATGTGCTATTGAACACAACATACAAAGCCATTCTAATAGTTGTCTTTTTAATTTCTTCTCCAATTTGTCTGTCCAGGTTGCAGAACAGATGGTATAATGATTCACAAGAGTATTGTTTCTTAACTTAACATGTACAGCCGTGTGATTGACTTAAAGGTCCTCTGTGATGAATATGTTTAGTCTAATTTTAAGCAGTGTGTAATGCCAAATTACAACACGGGCCTGTGAGCCTCGAGTCTTCAGTGGTCTCTTGCCACAGTTCATCGATTGCTCCAATTGCTAACGTTAGCAAACTCGAGGGCGAGGCTTTGGCGTCTAAAGGCCAAACTGTAGGCCATTACTGTACACAAATAACCACCCGATACAACTATATGGCACACGCGATTGTTCAACAACACCACAAAAAGTAAAATGTATAGACCAGACAACACGTGCAAAGAAGCTACTCCACAGCGATTACAACTTAGCTACGGTTTAAGCAACTAAATGCAACGCGGGGGCGAGGCTGGTCGTTACACAACCGCAGCTCCCGACACCCTAAAGAGCACTAAAAATATCCACACAACCTCCTTACATCTTCTAAACCGAAATATTCTTCATTATTATACATTTTTTAGTAGGAGCGTCGAAAAGTTTTAGAACGGAAATAGAATAAACGGAAACAAAACAGCATAGGGCAAATGGAAAGGAGCCGGAAATCCTGGCTAAAGGTTTACAGCGCCGCAAGACTTCCGAGAGCAGCTGCGACAAACACAAAGAGGCAACTTTAAGAAGGAAACTAACGGGAGAAGAGCAACTGTGGTGTAAATATTACATCAAAACAACACTGACGGAACTTAAACAAAAGTATGTACTGAAATCTAAGAGTTTTGAGTGTTTCGACTGTGTCCCCGCTGATTATGGGTGAGCGCCTCGCAAGCTTTTCTGTTAGCATGTCGGCTAACACCAAAGTGGTTCAACTAAGTTCGTGGCGCTAATTCTTCTTCTTTGAAGATTTAGAACGGAACGAATTAGTTCGATAATTCGAATATGGGGTTTACATTCGTTTTTAGCTTAAACTTAGGCAATGTTTCATTGCGATGTCCGACTTGGAACAAACATCGGCTAGTTAGCTCCAAAACAGCGGGAAGAATCCAAACACGAACCCCTTCCGTAGAGAGTAGTTTAGTGTCGCTTCGTTTTAAATAAACTCGTCTTTTATTAAACGTAAAATGTCATACCTGCGTTTTTAAGTCACGGGCCTTCGTGGATGCTGCACTGTGGTCAACTTTGGAGGATAAGCGGCCAAATAATACACACAGAGTAGAGACGTTATCATGCAAGTTATTTGGTGAAGTACACACAGACTGAGTGGGGAGGGCGGGGACTAACTGGCAACCCTGAAGTTAATACTAAAAACAAAAACCTTGGATGTGAAACGCCGAAGACGTCTGTGAGAAACTAGTTGTCATTCTTGCCATGGACCGAAGTTCATTGACTTAAGTTCGAGTTGTATTATATCTTGTGATATTCGCTATTTTACAATAAAATAGAAAATAGCATTGCTTTATATTTTGTAGATGTGGCTCATTACAGCTTTCCAAAGATACGCCTTGGTAGTAGCTTATAATGTAGTTACAAAAGCAGCACAGTAAAACTATAGACTGTTTATAAGAACATGATTGATTTATTAGCAGCTCTTAATGAGCCATTTTTAGAAAAGGAAATGCTGTGCTTGTTCTGAGTAAATGGTAAATTAAGCCACCAATTTTTTTCAACATTTTTTGATAGCCATTTATCTTTAATCACAACTTCCATGTCCTCTATAGGGCCATGGCAACAACAAACATCACCATTATCTCCAGGCTTTGACTGGATGAACTGTCATCTACTAGGATCTGATAACAAATTCCAGGCCATAATTTAAAAAAATGTCAACCATGATTTAGGGATAAGACAGGGACACCAGCAAAATGTTACAATTTTAAAATGGCTTACATTTTCTCATATATAAATTAGTTGTTGCTTCTGCATTCAGAAAAGCAAGGCCAGCCTTGTTGGTGTCATCAGAGATTTAACCACCTCTAATGCAATGTAATCTTTTATTATAAGTTCATGAAGAAATTGCTGGGTTATATCTAATTTTACTATGATGCTGTATTTAAACCAGGTTTCTCAGGCTTTTATTCTAACATCACATTGATATATCATTTAAAAAGACACTTATGTTGTGTTCCATTTCCCTGGCAGATGGGCATAGAAACCTGTGTAATATCCATTTATAGCCCTGTATCCTGTGTCCCAGTTATAAAACAAATCTATAGGACAAGCTTTATTAAGTATGTTCATGCATCTGGAAACAAAGTACTTGCATCACGTTGTAAAAACAATTAGACTGGAAACAATGTCAGCTTTTACTTACATTTGGTAGGAGGGCCAGCCATCTTTGCCTGTAACTTTGGCTGTATGAATGTCAATGGGTTGAGGAGAATAATTTGTGAAGGGGCTTTTTATTGGTATTGGCAGGGCATGGCTGGAAGTAAGACAGAAAAATACAAATAAAACATGTGGTTAATCCTATGCTGGATATCTTATCCCTTTTTAAAGTGCACTGTAGTAACAAATTCATTCTACAGTAAAACAAATGCATAGCATACTGTGATGTAACTTTTATAACATAGGTCAATTCTTTATTAATTATTGTTATTGCATTGCTCAAACGAGTTCTTTCACACAGTATTTCATCTGCCTTAATTTACCTAATTCTCTTAACTCCTCCATCGTTGCGCCAACCTTCATCTCGTCCATAAAACCTCTCATATTTCCAAGCCATCAGTTTGGACTGAACAGCTAAATATTGCAGTGTGCAACCATTAATAAAAAATATATACGTTTACTTTTGTGAGCGTGATGTTTATACAATTGTTGTATTGCATGTATCAATGCTAGCATAGGTATAAAAAAAAATTAAACCCATTAACCTCAGAAGACCAGACGATATAATATACAGAAAAAATAATAGCTGCAGCGCCGTTTGAATTAAAAGGCTGAAAACGACTGTTTAACTGACGCATGTTCCTGTAGCATACGTAACAATCAGAGATTTATTTCGAAAATCACGCTCAGGCCGGAAGTAAGGTCTGTTTTCTTATACTAACGGTTTATTTAAAAAGAGATTACATTGTCTTCAATTTAAAATTAATTTTAATATTCGGTAAATACCATTCTTCTACGGCTTATTCTCCCCAAACACACATGCGTAACCAGTGATGGCTATTTTAAATGTTAATCACCCAAATGTGTTGCGCTTTTATTTGGAAGGAGTCGAGGCGGAAAGGGTGTTGTTGACGCTTCTGCCTGAACGCACCGGCCAAGATGGCGGAGTACTTGGCTTCCATTTTCGGGACCGAAAAAGACAAGTAAGTAATCAAAGTTATTGTTATTGTTTGTGGTACTTTGTCAGTTGACGCCCCATTTGGTTCACGAATTTAAGTGGTATTAAAAGTATCTCGTGAAAATAATCCATATGCGAGTATTTAGTTTACAGTGCTAGCATGCTAACGACGGCAAGATACTGCGCCGCCTCAGGCACCTTTCGTCATATCTGTGAGCATAAAGTCGCAATAAAATACTTATTTTTTAGTAAATTAATAATACAGTCACTATAAAATCGCAATAAAATGACACAAGAATACGTTTTATGCTGGACAAACACAGCTAGAGTGTCTTAGTTTTATAACCAACACCACTCTTTGTTCCAATGGGCACATGGACCTCCGAAAGCCAAATACCGTGCCTAACTTAACACAATTCTAAACAAATTGCATACTGTTACTTTGGAAAAGGCTACACGCAGTGCTAACTGAGACAATACGTGATCATTATTTGTTTATTAAATTATCGCAATAATTAATTTTGTTGTAGTGTAAATGGCGGTTTGTCTTAAATAAAGATCACAGTGGACTGTTCACCTGACTCAGTATACCCCCCTCCCTCCATGCTCATACAGAAACGGCATAGTATAGTTTTTGTTTTTTGTATTTAAACTAAACTTTTTTTTCCTCATTATCTGTAGGGTCAACTGTTCTTTTTATTTCAAAATTGGTGCTTGTCGACATGGAGACCGCTGCTCCAGATTGCACAACAAGCCAACTTTCAGCCAAGTAAGATTGCACTCTATTTTAATAATTGACATGCAGGGCAATTGATCTTTAAATATAAGTTTTGTTTAATTGACTAAACCTTTAAGTAACTAAATAATTAAGGGTGTGTTTGGTTGCACTGTTCTAAATGCAAATTCATTTGCATGTTGTAAATGATTATTTAACACAAGCTAAGCAAAATTTTTATTTTTCCCCTCATTGTTTTAGACCATTGCCCTTCTGAACATTTATCGGAACCCTCAAAACAGTGCCCAGTCTGCTGATGGCCTGACCTGTAAGTAATTAAACCTGTGACAGGACTTTGATCCCAAAATTATATTATTTTCTAATCACAATCTTAAATTTTCTCTGTGTGACAGGACAGCCATACTGTAAATGGAGAGCACAAGAGTTTGAACCGCACACGCACTTGTTTGTTTCTTGTTCTTTCTTTTAACCACTAGGTGCCGTTAATGACATGGAGATGCAGGAGCACTATGATGAGTTTTTTGAGGTAAGGAATACTAAGACCTATTTTTAGTCCTGCATAATATTCGGTCTAATGGTTCATATGATGAGTTTTGTTCTTAACAAAATTTGCAGGAAGTCTTCACAGAGATGGAAGAAAAATATGGAGAAGTGGAAGAGATGAATGTGTGTGACAACCTCGGGGACCACCTAGTTGGAAATGTGTATGTGAAGGTGAGCATGATCCTGAGAAATCCACAGAAGTTACTAAAACGTGAACTCTGCTCAAATTGTAAAACATCCAACATTCTTGTCCACAATAGTTCCGTTATGAAGAGGATGCTGAGAAGGCTGTGATTGACCTGAATAACCGGTGGTTTAATGGGCAGCCCATCCATGCTGAGCTCTCTCCTGTTACAGATTTCAGGGAAGCTTGCTGTCGTCAGTATGAAATGGGGTGAGCACAACAAAGCCAAGAGTTTGTTTGTATTTCTTTTAAATTTCCATTAACAACAAAACTTGTAACCTATGAGATTTTTTTTTTTTTTTTTTAAAGAAATGCTGTACCTATTCTGGCTAAGCACTCGATAATCCCAGATATGTTTTTTGAATTATTTCTGGGGCTAAATCTTTTGTCTACCTCCCACCATTTCTGTTTTTAGATGAGATGTTTCTATTTTACTTGCATTTGACATCTGATAAAGTATGTCCTTCATCAGACATTGCATTTGTGTATAGGTTTTCTAGATTTGCAGGTAAAAAATGCATTGCACAACAATAATCATAACTTTATGGTCACTGCGCAGGGAATGCACTCGAGGTGGCTTCTGTAATTTCATGCACCTGAAGCCGATCTCCCGTGAGCTGAGGAGAGAGCTCTATGGACGTCGGAGAAAGGGGTACGGACCAAGTCAGCACCTTTACATTGTCGTGTGTTTAACATTTGAGTAACATACATATTTACGCCTCCTTCACCTCCTCAGTCGTCGTAGGTCCAGATCTCGATCAAGAGACAGAAGGTCCCGCTCAAGGGACAGAGGTCGAGGAGGCGGAGGAGGCGGAGGAGGCCGTGACCAGAAACGCCGATCCAGAGAGAGAGAGCGCTCCGGACGGTTCTGAACCACAAGCCATGACCTTCGTTGTTTTTGTAATTTGTGGATTTATTTCCTCCCAGATGTATTGTAGGACTAATTCAAGGTACCAGAACATAAAGCTGGAATAGTTCATCATTTTTTGATTTCTGGAAAAAAATGTCTTACACCTCATTAAATTGAACATTTTTTAAATAAATTGGCCCATGTGTCACTTGTTCATTACTAGTTTATTAAGTCATCATCTAACTAAACTTTTGTCTGTCCTGTATTGATATGGATGTTTAATTTATCTCAGGGAATTGTAGTTATTGTATGATGCAGGAACACTGTGACATGTCCCCTGGGTGTGAGAGAACTCGCCTTGCTACTCGCTGTCTGCCTCTGATCAAAAGTAACAACTAATCAAATCAGGAAGAAATCATTTAAAAAACCTAATCAGTGGTAGGAACTGATTAGGGACAGTTTTAAAACATCTAATTCATAAAAACAATAAAAATGTATTTAAAGTAAATGCCAATTAAGATAAATGATTTAAAATGATGTACATTAAAAAACAATCCATGATAAGGGAAGCTGTTATAACAAACACATACTTGGAATATCAGATGCTACGTGGCCTGAAGAAGACAGCTGATTGGAGAACGGTGTAAACAAAGATCCACAGTAAAATCTAACAGGAGGCTCGGTCTAATGCATTTGCCAGATCCTTTGCTGCCGGAGAGGTGAGTGCACATTTTTTTACTGAGAACAAAACAGCTTTGTTTCTAATGTACGTGAGTCATGTGTGACTTAAATATGAGAGCTTTAATATGTTGAAAGGCTGCATTGCTATTTTTCTCCTTTTTTGTAATTTTTTTATTCATTTCGGAAACAAAAATTATTTCTACTTAGTCTCACCTAAAATGTGATATGATGCCAATAAACTAAGCACATTAGTGATTGAAATATTTGAAATGGTTTGACTTTAAATTCCTTGTCTTTTACCCAGTGCAGTTTATAGATTCCCAACCATCACTGTCAACTAACGTTTGTTAAATTCTCTAAGAAAATGTAAAAAAGAAAATAAGCAAATAAAATTATTAAAATGATTTACTATATGTACTAAACAAACCTAGGGTTTTTCTAGAATTTTATAGCATTTCTAACTAGGTGCAGGATGCAAGGAGTTTACAAAGTTGAGAAAGAGGAAGGGAGTCTTGATGGTGTGAACTGGATTCGCCCTGATCAGCCCAGCAGATGTACCTGGGAGTTGGGCTTGACGATGTCAGAGTCCCCACATGATCACCGAAAAAAGTAAGAATCATCATCAACACTACCTCTACCCTAAAAATGTTTAGTTTTTACAACCTTGCAGAAAGTGGAATACACACACAAATATATATTTTTTCTTCTCTTCTGATAACAGCCTCCAGGCTCCCAGCATTCTACCCAACATCCTTAGTAAAATTGGACTCACGCCTCTGGTTTGTTTGAACAAAATTCCAAAGGAATATGGCCTCAAGTGTGAAATTTGTGAGTCTGCACCTGCAGCACACAAAACACCCACACAACTGAACAATGAATGCCTTTTACTTTAACATTTTCCACAAATATCAATATTTGCCTTTAAAAAATCAGCAGTGGATTCCTTGTAGTGCTGTCCATTGATTATAATGTGTAATCAGATTAATCACAGGGTAGTTATTAATTAATCAGGATTAATCAAGATTAGTCTTTAGCCATTTAACCCAATATTTTATAAAGACTATGTAAAGTATAGTAAAAATAATAATACTTCAACATAACACTAAGTAGGCTGTGTCTGAAAACGCCCCCTACAGGCTACATAGTGCACTGTATGGGGCATGCCATTTTGTAGTGGTGTCCCAATTTTAGTTGTCCACTATAAAGGACAATAAAAGTATCCCACAATGCACCACAAAGTGTACACTATTTGAGCAACATATCCCATCATGCTTTGCAGTCGCGACGACATATTTTAAGCGCCTGCTTTGTGTGCAAAATATAATGTGTGTATTGACTGTAGGAAAGCAACTATAAGTGAATGGACGGTGGAATTATTTGATGCATTTAACTGGTTGAAATGTATAGTCAGGTTCATTTTCACAAATTAATCGTGTTTAACGAATTTAATCAGTAGAGTTAAATGTAAAGTAGTTATGTATTCATTTTAAATAACAATATTAATAATAACTCTAAGGCAGTGACTTTATCTGTCACTGTTGTGGGAATGAACCGGAGTGAAAGGCTGTTCAGAAAGCATGTACTCTTCTGGCCATGAAACAACAAGCGCTACTGTTTCCTTTCCTGAAAAAAAAAAAACAAAAAACAAAGTGCAGATTCAACAACAAGCAAGGAGCAAATGTTGGCTGGATGACATGCTGCTCAGTAAAACAAGAAAAGAGAGTAATGTGGCAGAGAAAGAAAGACGTCTTTCAGTGAAACAATAAATAGGTGCGCGCTGGTGAAGAAGTCAGAGCAGAGACTGCCAACACTACTGCCTCCCTCTGGGCTTCCTGCTCAACTGCTAACAAGGGGACATTGAAGTATCATGTAGCCTGTGGCACTATGTCCATGGACTGTTTTGTTTTTAGATGTTTCATGGAAAGAGTCCTGAAAACACAACAAAATAGAGATCTGTTACATACAAAACCTCATCTGACCTTCTTACAGAAATGCACTACTATACATGATCTTTTCATGATTATATTTATTTACTATTTTGTCTGTATGGGTCAAAGGTCATTTTACCCAGAAGGAGGAAACTGGACTAGCTGTGGCCCAGGGTCAGGGTTTGAATACCTGCTTTGTTTTGCCATTAAGACTCTATTTACCTATTTAGCCACTTAAAGGCTAAAAACCAGAAAGTATGTGTCTGTTTTTTAATCATGTTTTTATTATTTATTTTCTGGTAAAAAAAAAGTTTATTTAGAAATTAGTTCAGTAAAAACTGAAGACGCCTCTTGGATAGAAGAGATAAGAACCCTTTATAAACCAACCTGTCCAGTTGCCTGCTTCTCAACTTCTCAAAACCTGAAGCTGTAGAATGACCTCTTACAGTATGCATGCTGTGACTGTGACTTATTTAGTACATAAACTGCATAATTATGTCTACATCTGTGTTTAGTGGCCAAGTGCGAGTTCTTCAACGCAGGAGGCAGTGTAAAAGACAGGATTGCTGTTCGGATGGTTGCGGAAGCAGAGAGAGCTGGGATCCTCCAACCTGGGAACACCATCATCGAACCCACCTCTGGAAACACAGGTGTGTGGAAAACACCACAACTGTCTGAAGAACACAACATAACGGCTGAGACGGCGTTAACTTTCATCCCTCTTTAGGTATTGGCCTTGCCCTCACAGCTGCGGTCAAAGGCTATCGCTGTATTATCACCATGCCGGAGAAGATGAGCATGGAAAAGGTTTGAGGCTTCTTTTAAATTGATACAATGCAGGTAGTTAGCTAACAGTAGCTGCTAATTCAAATCTGACTATATTGGTATCTGGACAGGTGTCTGTGCTACAAGCTCTCGGAGCAGAAATTGTGCGTACACCTTCATGTGCAGCTTTTGATTCACCAGAATCCCACGTGCGCATGGCTTGGCGTCTAAAGAACCAGATCCCCAACTCCGTTATCCTCGACCAGTATCGAAATCCTTACAATCCTCTGGCTCATTACGATACCACGGCTGAGGAAATCTTAGATCAGTGCCATGGTGAGTATTTGACCTTGAGTCTATTTACCATTTAATACATTCTTTACGGTTATTCTCTTAAGAGGTTAGAGGCGGGGCTTGAATCAATCCCAGGATTTATCAGATAAAAGCGGGGCACATTTGGATAGGTCCCCTATGGAAAACAGGGTCACATATTTAAGTGCTTTGAAGTATTGTTCAGTACAACGCCGTACACATTTACATTACTATTAAATCCAGTGATAACAGCATGCACGGAAACCAAGGTTTTTACTCTTGATTGTAAAATATTTGGCTTTGATTGTTTTCCACTCTGACCTTATTCTTTACCAAATACACACAACACAAACTAAAACCACTTCACTGCTACTCATTACACAACTGCTACTCCTACTGTTAGCACTTCTACTAATGATAATATCTTTCAGGCAAACTGGACATGTTTGTGGCCGGAGCTGGCACAGGTGGGACCCTTACTGGTGTTGCACGGAAGCTGAAGGAGCGATGCCCTAATATTAAGGTATTGTGATGAGTTGAAAGAAAACGTAACTCTCCTCACCCCATAAACAGACTGACAGATGAGCACTGGAAGTCAGCTATGCTGGACTTTATCAGTTGTACATAGTCAGATTCCAAATTTTTCAAATTACACACTTGTGATTATTTGTTCACAGATTGTTGGCGTGGACCCTGAGGGCTCTGTCCTGGTCGAATCAAAAGAAAAAAAAGAAAAAACAAAAGTTGCGTTTGAAGTAGAAGGCATTGGATACGACTTCCTCCCTACAGTCTTGGACAGATCTGTGAGTGTGTTTGTATATTGATACATGTATACACAGGAAGTACAAAACTCAATCAGATTACGTCACAACACAGAAGCAGTAGTCTGAGTCGTATGTTACCGTGCAGCTCATCGATGTGTGGTACAAGTCGACTGATGTGGAGACGTTCACCATGTCACGTAAACTGATCAGAGACGAGGGACTCCTGTGTGGTAGGGTCACAATAACGATGGGTTTGACTGTCGGATTTGACCATCTTTAATGTGATCAAGTTGGACATTTTTACATTTTTTAATTGACCATCATTTTGCTGCTGCAGGTGGGAGCTCTGGCTCAGTGATGGCAGCAGCAGTGAAGGTGGCTCAGCAGCTTGAGGAGGGACAGCGCTGCGTTATCATTCTGGCCGATTCAGTCAGAAATTACATGTAGGAGACTATGGATGCAGAAAAACTTTTTCATGCTTTTCATCTACGTGTCCTCACCGGAATCACATGTTCCCGTGGGCTCATTGTCAAAAAGTCCAATTAAGTATCCTGTTGTGATTGGCTGTATTTTCCCATGAAGATAACCCAGCCCTGTTGTTACCCCTCCACATAAAAACAGACAAAACATCCATCCAACAAAACAGCTAACATTATTTGAATGTTGGACACATAACTTTAAAGACCTTAAAAGCAATAGTCTTAACCATGTATACAATATCTTCTATCATAATCTAATGTTTGTTTTCTATCTAATTCAATTATATTGTAATCCACTAATATACCAAATCAAATATCCTTGCATGTTTAAATGTACTCAGCAGTAAACCTTGATTCGGACCCTTTTATTGTGAAGATTTTTTAAATAAGCAACAAACCCCAATTGTGTTTTCTTTAAGGTCCAAGTTCTTGTCTGACGACTGGATGCAAGAGAAAGGCCTTCTCCACCCTGAGCCTCAGATGGACTTCAAACCCTGGTGTGAAAATAGTATATTATAGAGCATTATATAATAAAAAACAATACAAGCTGAAATAGGAGCATATGCTGTTGTGTTCACTACATAAGACCAAACTTGCTCTTTAAGGTGGTGGAGTCTGACCGTCCAGAGTTTACCTCTGTCTACACCTGTCACTGTCTCACCGTCACTCTCCTGCCAGACAACTATTCAGATCCTGAAGGAGAAAGAAGTAAACCAGGCTGTGGTCATCGATCAGTCAGGGTACAGTAAAGGGCTTCAAAAACAAAGTCTGCAAATATACAGAGGTTGTGCTTTTATTTCAGATCACAGTACTGTCAGTTTAAGAAATCCATTTTTTTTTTGCTGAATACAGTTTAGCTGCTTCAAAGCTAACCTTTGCGTTCGTTGACTCTTGTACTGCATGTTTTGAAGTACTCTAATCTAATTAGTCCTAAGAGTATGCATATTACCCATCTGTAAGAGAAATCCCAATGATTAACACTACACAGTCCCATGTTTTTGTAAAAATGCCCGAGGAGCAAGTAAGTATTTGGTACAAGCTCGCCCCAGTGCTCTTCACATGCTCAAAAGATCATTACAAATACTCTGCAACATGGACAGGCTCCAAGATGTCAGTCAATCGAACAAAAAAAACTTAACTTCCTTCCTGTAATGGCCTTCCCATCCTTGGATGGTTAAAGTATTGAGGGTGGCAGTACTATTTCATGTTATTTCATGTTACATGTAACTTGTAATCATAGTCTTAAATCTAACCAGTGTGTGTATTTGTATGTGTGTGTTAAGGATATTCATGGGAATGGTAACAGTTGGAACCATTCTGTCCTCTCTATCTACTGGAGCGATCAAACCCTCAGACACTGTGGACAGAGTTGTCTGTAAAATTTACAAACAGGTGAGTCTGAGTCTTTATGTATATATATATATATATATATATATATATACTGAACTTGAACAAACATGATCCTCAACTTCCTCAAACTGATGGTCTCAGGTGCAGCTGAAAGACAGCCTGGTAAAGTTATCCACTATCCTGAGAGCAGACGGCTTTGCTGTGGTTCACACTGAGGGTAAGTTTTAGGTACAATAATATGTTTGTGGGATTGATTGTTAATTTCATGGACACAATTATTTTAAATAAAAGCAGGCAATATGTGTTCTGACCAGGGATAGTACTACAGAATATATATTATACAACTGTAGTATCAGAACTAAAAAAAACACACGTAGTTCTTGAATAAAGGGCAGCTTTGGAATTCATCCAAGTAAAAAAAAAAGAAAAGTCTTGCAGTTCTATATGAGCAAATTTGGAAGTTTATTTTGGGATCCAGTTGTGAGCTGGATTGGACAAATTCTGTAGAACAGATTTGGCCCATGGGCCGCCAGTTAATAATCACTGGTCTAGAAGTAGCATTAGGAGGTGATTTGAATGAAAGTAGTCTGATCTGCTGTGGGGACATCTGAAAAAGACAGTAAAACATTAGAACTGTTCCAGTGTTCTGCACTTAAATGTCATCTAGTTAGAAACAAATGTTTATTTTTTCTTCATCTTTTATCATTATCATGCTTCGAGTTGAAATATGCACTGACAACATTCCTTGGTGACGTCACCTGTCCTGCCATTAATGGCATTGTACAGTTTTACTGTTCAATGCACTCATTCCAGATGAGTGTGATGGATCACCGCAACAGGAGCAGAGACTAACTGGTGTTGTGACGACCATCGACCTCCTCAACTACATCAGCACACCTGAAAATGAGATAAAGTGAACACTAATATGCCCCAGGTCTCCTCTATCCTTAATTTAATACTCCTGTAGAACACCTGTTATGTTTTTATGTAGGGAATGTAAAATGTCCAGCACACATATATTCTTACTATGATGTCACAGAAGTTAAAACATTAAAAATGACTCCTTGTTCTGGAAAGGGAGCCTCTGACAACACTACTCTTATATATAGTGTGTTGACACAAAGGCTGCTCATTGTTTCTTTGTTTTTTTTCTCTGGAGACTTAGTTTCATGCCTGTCATGAAAATATTTTGGTTGAATTTGATGTTTAAAACAGTGTCAACATTTAAAATAAACACGTTAAGGGTCCGTAATTCCAAGGTTTACCAGATGAGGGCAGAAAAGGTACATTGTATTGAAACCGGCAGCTTGAACCTTTAAGTACAAACCACAGTTCCATGTGAATTGATAAATTGTATATAAAGTAAGCAATCTCTAGACAGAATTTAACACTTGGCGATATTACAATAACGTCTTGCACATTTCGAACAAAGTGTTTTAATTTAGTTTTAATTTATATATTTATATTATTATATACATTATTTTGTAATACCATACCATGTTTTTTTCCCGCATACTATCTCCCCTTGTTATCTGTTTGTTTAGTTTCAATAACGTTTATATTAGCAAAGGGTTGTCTCTATTTGTTGTAATTGTGTGCATACATTTTCTAAACAATGGTGAGTTTCATTGGGGAATTTAATAGCAAATCTTTTGTCTTTAGATGCTCTGTCGAATTATGTTATATTTTAACAGAAGTGAAACCGGTAATCAGAATAAATACACACTCAGTTAAAGATTGACAGAAACGACCGAGGTCAAACTTTGAAGATTTCACATAAAGGTGGATGGCAGTGTGACAGTAAGATGAGTGTAAAAAGAATATACAGGAACAACAAATGGCATTAAGGTCAATAACTAAAGACACATGAATGGCTGACTTCTCTTTGTTGTTGGATCACTGTGATGGTGACATTTACCTCTGAGGGGTTTAAAAAATGGTGACCTTTCAGTTTGACACTTGATGTCACAAAGAAGACGTCAGTGTGACAGAACAGATAAAGCTTGTCGGTCAAAAGTAGCAGTGAACAATGTAAAGAAGAAAAACAAAACACACAAAAATGTCTCTGCAAACTGCATTTTTTTTTCATCGCCATCTAATAGAATGAAAACTGAAACAAAATGACAGTCTTGTGAAAATAATACTATAACAAATGAGGTGAAATATGCAGAAAATATTCATGAATGAACAACATTTAGATAATTAATTTTTCCTTATGGGAGGTCATAGAAATGCAGTGTAAGTGCCCTGGCCTAGCTCTTTTTAAAAAAATTCTCTTAGTCAAGACCTAGTCAACACTGTTTATACCAAATACCCCAAAGCTGATAAATACATTGAACAGGACTTCCTTCTATTTACGTAAACCCCCTAGAGGAAACACACTGCAATACCTCTGACCTTTAGAATGATTCTTTGGAGACGGGGCTGCACACTGTTTATCTAATTTATCCCGTGTCAGACATTGTTGAATGAGCTGGAAATGACAGGAAAGGTACACACTGTAGTTAGTGCTACCTTGATTGGTTATGCTTAACTTTGAGACCCCTTTTGTTGTATATTTCCGTCAATGTTGTGATTAAAATGTATAATCAAGCGTTCCATTGCTGAGGGAGAGGATTCACCCACCATAAAATAAAAATAATTATAATTTTTCTTTTTATTCTTTGGTTAATTATTTTTTAATTTCCTGAGTATTCTTCCTTTAATCTGGTTTGCTTTGGCTATTACATTACAAAACATTTAGCAGACTCTTTATCCAAAAAGACTTACGATATGTATGAGAAACTTAGCAATTTAACTAAAGCGATTAAAAAGAAATATCTTTCAATGCAGTTCCCTTGGTAACAAGCAAACCCTTGCCCTTTTAGACCGCTGGCAATAATATGGACCGCACCATTTTCTGTCTGCTAGTTGGGGGTGCGTTGAGATTTCAGTAAACGTCTATGTGTTTTGCGACGACGAAATTGTAATACACTTGTATTGAAACACATTTCTAAACGTATCTTGATATATTAAAGGGATATATATGTTCTAATATTTAAATTTAAGCTCTAAAATTATTCTCAGCTCATCCCGGAAAGACCCCCACACGTCACATTGACGCTGGTACAGTAAGCTGTCAGAAGCTTGTTGCTTAAATCTGTGCTGTACTGCAAAAGTAAAGAAGAAACGCTGTCTGGGACGTTGACAAGATACCAAGGTGATATATTTGATTTAACCCCAACAAAAACGGTTAGCTGAAAATAAGAATTATTTAGAGGTTTTCGAGAACACTTGGTTTTGATGAGTTCGGCGGCGCTGCAGTGTCGTCTGCCTCTGGCTGCTGCGTGATCGCTGTCTCCTCCAGCATGATGAGGTAAGCAGGTTCACGCAGACCGGCTAACACACAAGCTAACATTAGCTCAGAAATGCTGAGTGTGTCGTGTTAAAACCGTGACAGTGGCACGAATGGTATGACAGCAGTGGGGGATAATCCACGGAAGGAGATGAGACAGCAACAACAGAGGCTAACGAGATAAGGTGCAGTGGGTTCAGCTACAATGACTGTTGCAGTGAGTTTAATCAAATTTAGCGGTGGTGCAGGAGGAAGAGTCACGTCCTCCCGGAAAGGTGGTGTGAAGGAGCTGTACGTATGGGAGTTCTGTATGGGAGAACTTCATAAAAATTATAAGCAAATACAATCATGTCTAGGAAATCCCCTTTGGTTGTGCTGACAAGTCACGAGACAAGTATAAGCTGTTGATCTTTAGTGACCATTGACGGTTTATAAGAACGGGATGGATGTTACTTGATTTAAGTACACGCTTATGAATCATGGGGAAAATTCAGCTATTAGTTACAGTGTCAGAAAACATTTCCTCTCAATATCACGGTGTCAGTCGTTAGTTCGGCAGCTCTTTAATGTCCCCTGACACTGAGACAACTGAGATACAGTACATGGCAGCGTCACTGTATCGGTGGCTACAGCCAGGCTCCCGTTGATCTATCGAGCTGTCAATCACAACCATTGACCAGTTATATTCACCCTCCTACGTCATTTCATCCTCTCTCCGCTGTTATTTTCCGCACAAGCAATTGAAATTAAATCCACGCGTGAGTACCCTCACCTTTCGTAAAACTGTATAAAAACAAGTTACCCTCAGACAGCCGCACTACTTCAGGAGTAGCTTTGTCCACTTTTTTAACAAGGTCTATAACATCATCGCCCATATCCGTTCTTTTGCTGTTAAAAGGACAGTGCTGAGAGAAATTGTTTACTGGTGTACTCTACGTGGTGTAAATAACACCCACTGGATGGCAGTGATGCAACATCAACGGTGCCAGTAGCTGTTAACACTGATTATAGAAGAAGGTAGAAGGAAACGGTCAAGTGAATGAAGTTATATGTAGGGGGTGATTAGAAAGAAAATAGCGAGGTTTCCAGCTGGTTTCAACACTTACTACTACTCAGTTTGTAGAAATGTTTGCAAAATGATACTTATTTCCTGTCAGTTAATAATAAAATATATACACATATAGAGTACATACTTTTAATTCGTATATAGCAGTTAAAACAGTTACTAGTTACTTTACTAGGACTAATGAAAAATATTGTGGGGAACATTTGTAAATTCACTCATTCCTCACCATAAGTGATATGGATAGTATAGGTGAAAGTCTTTAATATTATGAATTAAATAACATCAAGTTAAAAATCCAAATAATATGCAATAATTTCCATGAACACACATTGCATTTAAAATGTGATAAATGATCTGTAAGCACAGGAGAGTCCGCACCAGGAAGCAGTTGCCTGAGCTGAATTTAGAAAGTTTATTTTTATGTGACAATCGTCCTCATATACAGTATCAGGTTGCATCCAGTGATGAAGGATCAACTGCCAGCAGTGTATTTCTACAGGCAATGCAAGCATCTTTTACGTCATCAACCTCTGGCCTTCTATTGGCCTATTTCAGACTAGGAGGGTCTTCCTGGAGGCCGGCACTAAGACAGGAAGGGGGTGGCTGGAAATGTTTTAGTCACAGTTGGAACAGTTTGTTTTCATAGCTGTGAAGAGAAATCTTTAGTCACTGAATATTCTGCTCAGAGGAAGGGGACAAAGAAGCAGTGACACACTTTGGCCTCTTAAATATTGTGGATTTATCACTGCCTCACAGTTTGGGGCGGATCATCTTACAGGCTGTAGATGTTGTGGTAGGTGTTCTTTCTCCCGTTTCCTTGTGCCTAAAGGAATTTGCTGCAGTATGTCGTGGGATTGCATGCAGTGCACTGTTAGAGGAGAAAGGCCGACTTAACAAAAGCAGTGTTTATTCCAACCTCTGTTATTGATGACGTGTGCCTTCACTGCTCTTGGAATGTTTTCAGCTTATATTAAGTTATACAGTGCTTGGATTTGTCGGTCACTTTTCAGGCCTAATCAGCAACTTCCTTCCTTGATTGTGTTCCTTCCACTAAGTGTGGGTTTGTCCTGTCAGATGTTGAACTTACAATACTGTGTTGTATTTGTTGTATGTATTTGTGAGATTGTTGTAAGGTTTATGGTTTTTTGACTGCATTTTTAGGCATAGCAGTGTTTTTTATTACAACAAACAATGTAATGGTTCTATAGTTCTGACCAGATTTAAAAATACTTATTGTTATAAGACATACCATTATTTTTATGCAACTGCTTGTATAAACGGTTTTTACGTTGTGTGTATTAATTAATTAAATTCAAATGCATATTTGTAATCTAATAGGGTAGAATGGGATCAATTATTACTCATTAATTAATCATAAATGAATAATGATTAATCTAGATAAGTTAACATTCATAATATGACAAAAACCTTTTCTTCTGTATATTGTTGATGTATGTAGATTTGTGTTTCAAACAATTTCTTTGACTAATCCAAAAAATGTTTAGCAAATTGTGCAAAAGTACAACTAAACTTTTTTCGTTACAACAAATTAGGTTTGACACTTCCAAATGATTATTATTACTTGACCAACCTTAACCCTACTTAAAAAAAGGTTGCAGTACAGGTGGGATTTTTACATCTCTGTTTGCCCCACTTTCTGTCTACTGTCCTCTTTTTGAGCCTGACTTACACTTATAATTCATAAGCCATGTCTTCAAAAGTAATTTTCCAGTTTTATTGAAGGCGTGGCAAAACAAATATTTGAGGACTTCCTGCTTTGGAGCGAGCACTTTTTCTTTTTAGATTGCTGTTCCTGGGTCACATATCCATATTTCCTTGTAGTAATAAATGCACATAATGTCTTGATAGGTGCTAGTTATAATGCAACAAGCTGTGAAGCAAGGAAGAAAAATATATATATCAAAATACAATCTAAAAATGCATCAAGCTCATCAGTTCATCCAGCACCTGTTTATATAAAGCTAATTAGTAATTGATTTCCAGCAGAAAGGGTTGAAGAAAGGTGTCAACAAACATGTTATAAAAACCTACTTTACTGGCCTCCATGGAGCCCAGACTTCAATATCATTGAGCGTCTGATCTTGGATGATCTGGATAGCAGCAGGTCAGAGAATATCCAACATCTAAAGAATGGCTTTGAGCTGTTCTTTAAGAGACTTGCAATATATACAGGGGCAGCTTATTGGCTTTAGAGAAAGTCACACTTTGATTAAAAAACAATAATGTCACACAGTTCTCTTGTGCCTCCTTTTGTTTCTTAAATCTGCAGAGAAGTTCAAACGTTTTTATACCCAATGCTAATGGATATCTCTGTTTTGCAGGTCACAATCAGAAAGTGCCTTAGAGAAGATGTCGTCCACCTGAAGTTGGTCTTTTATGCCTCTGTCTGTGAGATACCAGCACAGGGTACTTTACCGTCTGACAGCACTTCACCATTATTTTGCACAACCTTAGCACTTCAGAGAAGGCTTAAACTGGACTTTATTGTCAGAGTGGATGAAGATTACATTTTTGTCACAGGTGCAATACCTTTAAGGGCCAATTTTCCCAGCTTTACACCGAGATGTTTTTCATTGGTGGGTGATTTGCCAGCTATAGGATTCTTCTGCTTCAGCTAACGGACTGCTCACAAAGTTCTTTTGGAAGTTAAGATCTCACACAAAGTCCTTAAGCAACGCTTCTGGTGTACAAAGCATTTAAAAAAGAGATTTTTGAATTTTAATATTTAATGCACAGTTGAAACAATCAAACATGGCGTTAAACGTTTCTTCAATAAGAGACACCAAATGGCTCACCCTTGAGGTGTGCCGACAGTTTCAACGTGGAAACTGTTCACGCAGGGATGAGGAATGCAAATTTGCTCACCCGCCCAAGAGCTGCCAAGTGGAAAATGGTCGAGTTATTGCCTGCTTTGATTCACTGAAGGTAAGAAATACTGCACACGCCATTACATTTGACAGTTTAATGATCTTTTTACTCAATGTATGAAAATGTTAGCCATATGAAAATCGATAAGAAACATTAACAGCCATATAAAATTTAAAGTGTAGTTCCTGATGATGTTGCCCTCCTCACACATTGTGTAAAATGAGGCTGCAGACCAAGTTGAGCATGTTCAGCATCAAAGACTTGTTCTCCACTGCTCTTTACGTCTACTGGCATCTCTACTGAATGGCTTCCACAATTACAGCTAACTTCATTGAAGTGGGGCATGTGCATGTGCTTCTCTCTTGTAATTAGTATCTCATGGCTTGCAAAACTGCAAAACAAGATTTAGCTGGTTAGTCCAAATTCACTGCTGTTCAGTAAACACTGTGATTGCTTGTTTGAACTCAGTTTTACCTAACCCAGCAGCGGACGAAAAAGTAGTCTCAGCTACTTAAGATTTTTAAAAACAACCTCATAGCTGGAAAGTTCTTTTTAAAAACAAACAATAGAATCTGTCAAAAACAAATCCTCTCTGTCATTTTAATGAGCAATAGAGAAGTAATGTGTTCGTCTGCACTGATGCTGCCCTCTGCCTCTATGTACATATCTACTCATTCTTGTGTAAGTGGTCAGAACCACACCGCTGTCAAGAACTTATAAAATCAATTTTATATATATAAAAATAATTCAATGTTTAATGTGATGTTTGTAAGACACAGTGCGCACAAACATTCATAACCGACAGAACTGTAACCTCTAGGCTTTATTTAATCAGAAGTTTAGGACAGAATAGATATCCACCATTGAATCTAATCTAATCCAAACACTGGTGATTTCAAGTATGTGTTAAATAGCCAGTCATTAGCTTCTCAAATCATTTTTACAGCCTAGTCATAAAAAGAGCACTGTTTAAATCTCCTCTGAGTCATAGCTGAGTTTATAACACATTAGATGATTTTACAGCACTGTGTTAATTACTTGCATCACTCTGGGAGTCGTTCTTTTTTTTTTTTTAAATCCTACATACACTTTTCACTGAATGTTTTAATAGGAATAATGCACTTCACAGGATATAAAATGAATGTGGTGTTCTAGCGACAGTAGTCATTGCTGTGCAGAATAGATAAATACCCCAAAAACTAGCTGTTACATCACAGAGATAAGCACCCTAATTACTCCACTCACTGTAGATGGTTATGAAAGGCCTGAGTGGGAGTTGAGTGCTGTAATAAAGACTGTCATGATAAGTGCGGCTAGAGGTTGTGTCTCAAATCTCTACATGGTTCCATTGGCCGACCAGCAACTAATGTCTTTTAAATGTTTATTATTTATATTTCAGGGCCGATGCTCAAGAGAAAACTGCAAGTACCTTCACCCGCCTTCACACTTAAAAACCCAGTTAGAGATTAACGGACGTAATAACCTAATTCAGCAGAAGACTGCAGCAGCTGTACTCGCACAACAGATGCAGCTTGTCATCCCAGGACCCAGCCTACAGTCTGTGGTGAGTCGTTAGTACCGTTTCTTGGACTGTGGCTCTGTTTGTCTTGTCGTCTTATGTTGTGAGACTTTTCTGTCAAACAGGGCCTCGCTACAAATACTGGTCTTGGTTATGGGTCATATATTTCACCGTTGAGTCATGGGATGAGCCTTGTACCGTCAGACATCCTCCCCAGCAGCCCACTTCTTGTCTCTGCGAGTCCTCCTATCACGGTCCAGAGTTCCTCTTCTTCTTCTCCTTCACAGAAGATGCAGCGTACAGACAAACTAGAGGTAGAGTGATTACTAAACTGCTATGATCCTTTGTCCTGGGAGACTTGAGAGAATGGGAACAGTCTTAAAGTGTGGAAGTAATTCATATTTTTGCTTTGTGATTTATCTGGCCAGAGCCAGTCTGTTGTCATAGTATATACTGTAGTACTCATAATAAAGTACATATGATTATATCAGGCATGGTGTAGCACAGAGACAACTGTGCTATGCTACATTTTTTTAAATTATAGTACTGTTTTAGTGAACGTGACTGATAGTATGCACATCAATTTGACTGCAGTGTCAATCATGGTCAAAACAATAGTGGCTGATTCATATTCCTTGCGTCCAGCCGAGTGTTAAATTTGTTATTCTGCTCCTCGTCAGGTTTGTCGTGAGTTTCAGCGTGGCAACTGTGCAAGGGGGGAGACAGATTGTCGCTTTGCTCACCCCAGTGACAGTCCCATGATTGATATCACTGATAACACCGTCACTGTTTGCATGGATTACATCAAGAGCCGCTGCTCCAGGGAGAAGTGCAAGTATTTTCACCCGCCTGCACACTTACAGGTCAAAATCAAGTCTGGTCAACAACAAGCCACTCAGACGGCTGTCGCAACTCAGGCTGCAGCAGTGGTAAGACAGAATTTAAACTCATTAGCTTCTGAACAATGCCTTTGGTTTTTTTCTCTCTGTGATTTCATTGTTGCAATTTAACTACACTATTAACCGATATTGTTATACTCCAGTTTAGTTTTTGTAAAATTAAAGCAACGAGCCAAATGATTTCTTGATCAAGTTTTAAAACTATGGCCTCTTCAACACCAAGACTAAAGTCAACACGAGTTAATGTTCAATTTGAAGCAATTTGCATACGGAGTTAGATAAGCTGTTTTTCTAGTGGCCTCTCATTAAGGTGGTTTAAACCTCTGAAGCCACAATCAGTTTCATTATTGCTAAAATATTTAAAATCTTCCTCATCTTTATTGCTGTTGGCGTGCCCCAGGGTTCTGTTCTTGGGCCCTTTTGTTCACACATTCTATTTTTTCATTGCTTTATGTTGTTTTCCAGCAACCCGTTGTAGATTTTTAACTCAGTGCATATAATCCATAGGTCATCTACACTATCTAACCCAACTTCATTTGCCTCCATTACCCCTTTATTACTTTTACAAGAATAGACATTTACCCAATCATTTTTCTTAGTTAGTCTTAGTTGATGGATCAAAGGCAATATTTTAGAATTTATCAGTAATCTGGGTGTCATATTTCAAGTTAAACTCTACCCATACATTTCTTCACTTTTTTGCTTTTTTTCTGCTAGCTGCACATAAAATGTTTATGTGTTTAGTTTTAGAAATAACTTTCTATGCTTAATTAATCATAGGATACTTTAAGCCTTACTGACTGCTTTTGTATTGACTGTAAAAATATATGACTTTCTATTGTATATTGGAAACATGTGGCTTAAACATTTTGCTTATTAGAATCTCATTGCCAAGCTGTATTATTTTTTGTTTTTGTCATTCTATCACTGCTGCTTAGTCTTACATAATATCTGTGTTGCATGAGTTAATTATACATGTATATATAATATAACGACCTAAAATACTTAGCTTACATAGTACAGATAAAATAATAATGTGTTAGTCTAATCTAATCTCAATTTACTGCTTTCTTATTCTAAATTTTCAAGTTACATTTGTGATAAAACCTATTACTGGTTAGTGGGATTTAAATGCCACCTCAGACACACTTACAAAAATATTTTGAAAGACGCAATTTTACCACTTGGGCACATTTGGGAACTGAAGATACTTATAATTTTACAAAGAGAACTTCAGTCCACTCTTGATGTAAAAAAAAAAAAAAGACTGGCAATGCTCAGTGCTCACTGTTGTCTGATTCTCCTCTTCATAATGTACCAGACATTTTCAATAGACAACAGATCTAGACTGCAGGCAGGCCAGTGTAGTTCTTAGAATGCTATTTTACAGAAGGGTCTTGGCTTTAGTCTTTGTTCCTTCTAAATGATTGAAAATCAAAAATAGCAGTGATCTACCGCTGTAAAATATTTTACATATTCAAACATAGACTTGGTTTTTTAGCTAAGGCTTCTCAACAACCTTGTCCAAAAATAGAGGGTACCAACTCGTTACAACTTGATATTAGGTGTCTACTAATCCAAAGAAAGTATTTTGTGTATTGTGCATGCATATTGTGTTTTATTGTGTGGTGTTTACTACATTCAGACTCTTTTGTTTTGTTTCCCCCTCCTCTCACGTATCCACAACGCTGCCCCCCATGATGCCCCTCTGCTTGCTGTTACCTGTATGTTAATACGCTTGAATCCCATTGGTCCACTGCCATCATGTGCTCGCTGCCTGCTATAAAAAGACTCAGTCGACTGCCAAAGCAATGAAGCGACCCCTCGAGGCAACTGTAGATCTGGTATTTTCACCTTTTGCTTTGCATGTAGCTTTTGATTCTACTCTAAAAGCTTTTAATTTTTGTCACTGTGGCCTCTTCATGTAGCCCTTTATGTAAACAGTCAGCATCAGTTTTTAAGTGCTTAAGTTGACAGATACTTAGTAAATCTTCTGGATGGTGTTCATATTTTAAAACCCTGTGCCTTATTGTGTTTCCGTAATATCATAACAGGCAGCTTGTAATTATAGTGTAACAGTTGTAAAAAGCTACATTTTGAGGGTGTTTATCAGTTTTATGTTCATGGCTTCTTTGGTCACCTTTCAGGCCTTTCCTCATGGGGTTTTGTCCCTACCAAAGAGACCAGCTCTGGAGAAGAGCAGCTGGACCAATTCTCTACTCAGCCCTGGTTTGTTGCACTACCAACAGGCTTTGGCAAGTGCACAACTGCAGCATCCAGCCACAGCATTGTATCCTGCAGGTAAAGCTCATTTATCCTATGCTGTAAATTCATGGTTTAACACTAGATCACCTTCTGTTACTTTACCTCAGTGATAATATCAAACCAACCTAACTTCACCTAAAGCTGTACAGTCATATAGTAACTCTACAGCCTTTGACTGTTGATGTATTGTGATGACATGGTGGTGACAATTGATTATACTCCGTGTCTCTCTCTCTGTCTGTCACAGGGTCTGTTTTTTGCATGACTCCAGCTAACGGTGTAGGTAGGTGGCTCTTTACGAAACATGTCTGAGTGTTAATGGAAACTTGGGTAAAGCACATAATATGTTTGTACCTAATTTTGACATCGGGGGAAATTTTAGGAAAATCTGACTTTTCATTTCCAATTGTTCTATATTTATATTTGTTATAGTTTAAGGTAGAAGTGTAGTCACATTTCTTTGTGTTTGTAGAATTTTCATGCTCCATGGATTAGGAAATTTGATCAGCATCCCTTTGTACTTTCTTATTATCAATTTTTTAAAAATGAATTATAAAATCTCCTACAATCTACTCTAACCGTCTTTGGTGGCATGGCTGTAGATGCTCGTCTCTGGGATGTGAAACTCTGGACAGATTTCCTAATTTAATCTCTTACCAGCCCTCCGTTTGTGTCCCCCGTCCCCTGCTGTCTGGCTTTTTTTCTGTTCGATCGTATGCCATCTGCTGGTCTAACCCAATGATGGCTTGCTGCTAATTCCATTTATATATTTGCTTGGCAAGAGAGAGTGAAGAACATTGCTATGGTTACCATAATGCTCCACCTCCCTTTTCCATTGCTTTCATGGTTCCCTTCCTGAAAAAGTCCCCATGATGTACAGTGCTACGCCTGCTACTGTCTCTGCAGCAACTACTCGCGCCACAAGTGTCCCCTACGCAGCAACAGCACCAGCCAATCAGGTTTGCTCCTTTTTAAAGCCTTCTGTCATAAATCCTTGAGCTCTGGATAGGTGCTTCATCTGTACAGTACAACCAGGGGAGTCGCTTCCATCACCATAGCATCGGCCTGCTTGCATCGCCTGATCTTTGTGCTTCATTTATCTGTAGACCTTCAGTAGAACTGTCAGGCTGCATCTCACTTCTTTTCCTAATGAGAAAAAACATACATAGAGGTCTGTCATCTGCCAGTAGTGACTTGTCATATACCTTCTCTACTGCATGTGTTTTTGCTTTGATGGGCATCAGTGTCTCTTTCATCCCTCAATTTACATATTCAGTTGCCACGACAACATAATAACAGCAGAGTCCACTTGTAGGTTATCAATTATCGTCAAACATTTTTTGTTTTTCCTACCCGAACTTCATTATTAATACACATATCATTACCCAGTTTTGAGAGCATTTACTAAATTGTTGAATTTTAAGGCGTCTAAATTTCATCATCAATAAGTCTTTCCTGGGTTATGCAGAACCGTGTAAAAGTCCAGTCTGCTCTAAACATTTAATGTCAGCCCCTTTTATTTCAATCAAATGTAGAGAACCAGATCATCAACATAGCTAACATTAAGGCTGAAAATAACGTAAAGATTGACATGACTTGTATTTTTAACCAAGAAAAAACTCTGAAAATTCTTAAAGGCAAGCAAATGAGAGAAAAAAAATTAATAAAAAACAGACAAAAAAATTAATTGATGTAGAAAATGTAGAGTGAATTTTGGCTAAAACATCAAGTTAATACTTCTCTGAAACAGATGTCAATGTTAGTGCAGTTGTTTAAAAACAATATAGCTTAAAATGAGCAAATATTAAAGTTAAAAAGCATTTAAAAATGTCTCAGACCTTTAAATATTAAATAAAAACATGCTTGAATACAATCAAAAGAATGCCAAAAGTAGATGATAATAATAGTAATAATAGAGACAAGAGTCATGATAAAAGTTAATTTACAGGATGTTTAAAGTGAACGTGATGAGTTCAAGATATTGGGTTTAGAGCTCTTCATTCCATCTTATCATTTTATGTACATAGAGTGTTAATAACCTAATGGTCGGTGTCACATTGATCCACGGTGTGCGTACGTGCGTGTGTGTGAAAATGCTCAGTGACTGACTGTTTTTTGCCTCTGAAACAGATCATCCTGAAGTAAAAAGCAGAAACAGGAGTCAGTGCCACGTTGCTGCTGGAAAAGCTCCCAAACATCCATGTTGTAAATACTCTGTTCACCAAACACTCCATTTACAGCAAGCTGCATGTTGACAATGTCATCATTCTAAACCCTGTTCAAGTCAAAGTGATATGAACTGTAAGAGTTCAGGAGTAGGGATAGACACCGTTATAGCGACTTAACTTATTCAAACAGGGAGCAGATTTAAAAAAAAAAAAAAAAAAGACCAAATGTGTTTAAATAATTATTGTGAATCTCACTTTAAGTGTCAGATGTGATGCGCTATACATCCAGCCTTAGATGAGTCCTAGTGTGTTGACAAGCGTGGTCCTATTCTGGAGCTAACTAATTCTAAGAAGATTTTATCATATAATGATATTGTTTGACACCATGTAATGTGTTTTATTTCTTTCCTGAATGTGTAATTTTCAAAACTTTAATGATTGTTTATCAAGTGACAGATTGAATTAATTTAATCTAAAATCATGAGAAGCACTTATTTAAACTTCAAAAGATGGAAAAGGTAGTTATTGTTTCTTAGTAATTCTCTTTGTTATTTTATGCCTGCGTTTTCCCCAGAAAACAGAATCAGTGCTCCACCTCCTGGTGTGCCTTTACATTGCATTTTAATGTACTTTTTTTTTTAAATCATAGTTGGTAGACAGTAACACAACACTATTATTATTGGTTAATTCTCCTGGTTGTTTTTCTCTTCGGATTGGTCAAAGGTGATGTTTCTAGGAAGCTTTAACTTTTGAGGCAGGTTTTGCAAAGATCGTTCCAGACTGTGGCTTACGTCAACTTTGGGCTCTCCTCCATACTTTACACTTCTTAGTCAACTGTTGCTGCGGCCTGTTCATTGTTGGTCTTTGCAGGTGTAACAATTCTTTTATTAGTCATAACTAGCTAAAGAAAAATATATATACACACATATATACACACACACATATATATATATATACACACACACACACATATATATATATATATATACACACACATATAAACATATATATAAATATATGCATGTGTGTGTATGTGTATATATATATATATATATTAATTTACAGTTACTGAATATTTTTGGAAATGTTGAGAGTTGCAAAACAGGCCATCTCTGTTGAGCTTTGAAACATTAAAACATTAAATTGGCAGAATCCATGTTGAATCATAGATGGTTTGAAAAGACATGGAGGCAGGTGGATGGCTGCACAAGTTATTGCTCCTCTAGTTTAGGAGAAAATGTTTTGAAGACAAGAGGATTATGGGAATATAAGGCTAACGCTCTCTCAGGTTGTAAGATTAATAACTGGTTTACTGAAGAAGTTCCATGTCATTTGTTTCCTGTTTCAGGCTTTGCTCAACCAACTATTTTCCAAAACATGGAACCAAAATAAGCAGATCTGACCTTATCCATGAACCTTCTAAACTCAGAACAAGCCCTAAGGTATATAATCTGTAAAGAATCACCCTTGCTTTTCCCTAAGACTTAAATAGCTGTAGTTTGCAACATCCAATTTTTTTTACACAGAGTAAAATGTGAACCATAATCCAGAATTAGAAAAACTTTAATATTATGTTTGGTCTAGATTTCTTACAACATGGTAAAAACCCTGCAACTCTCAACTCCCGACAGCATCAGTTGTCACATTCTTTCTTAAACGCCACAGATCGATCATCAGTCCAGTTCAAATCAGAGCCAAATGTTCTCATTTCTTTTTTAGTCAATGGAAGTTATATTTTAGTGAACTTGTTTTAATTCTTTAAGGTTAGAACGCTGTGTGTACGTGTGTGTGAACTATCAGTCTTAATACTATAGTCAGTTGTCTGTACTGTATTGTTTGACATTAACAAGTGCCTAAAAATTCTGCATGCAATGACATCTGGGCAAATTATAAAGGTCTAAGAGTTGAAAAAAAGTTCTATTAAATCTACTGGTATTTTCAGAGATTCCATGTCGTTGCTGTCATTAGTTTACTCTTAAACTTTGTTTCCACATCGGTAAAAAAAAAAAGGACTTCATCTCATATTTGGACCATATATGTCTAGCTAGTCGATATTATGCTTACATTAAATTAAACTTTCCACATACAATAAAGTCGGTGAAGTGTAGTTGTGTATGATCCACAAAACAATATGCAATTAGCCATCGTTTTTGGAACTAAGCTTATAGAGTGGAGTGGACAACTTTATGTCGGGTTAAGTATCATTAACAAATCTGTGTTTAATAATCTCCTAAATGTCATTTATTTCTTTTACGTTCCCATTTTGCCATGTGAAAATATTTACCGTTTCAATTTTTTTTATGTTTTTCATGTGACGTGCTTGTGTCCGACGGTCCACTGAGAAACACTGTACTTGTTACAATTTCATTTCTATATATTTTTCTCGTGAAAATGTACACAATATTGGATAAACAATATGGTGTATACATATGGTATTTTACTAGTTTAACTTTAGCAAAGAAGGCATTTAAAAATGTATTCTCTTCTACTTTGATATGAATGTAATTTATAAAAGTGGCTTCAGCTCGGAGCGATGTTTCTCAGAGGGCCTCCAGCTGAAGCTTTAGCCTATAAAGAGACTGTGTCTGTGTCGGGTAAATATTGTATGTGTTAGAGCAAAGAGCAGATTCCAACATTTAATCTTTGTCACTGCCTTGTCACCCGTCGTGGAAAACAAATCTCTGTCAGAGCAACACGGTGTCGTACAGATCATAATATACAAGACAGAGGAATGACCACGTTATTTTCTGGAAGATGTTCCTTCTGGTAAAATTGTCTGTTCTGTCAGATATTAGAATTCGCAAAGCACCGTAAGTGAGACTGTTGATAAAAACACATATATTTATTTCAATTTCCTTTGTGAAAACGCATTTTAACAAAGAGCATGATGTAGAAAAAGCTTTAACAACTTTGATGGTAACCTGATGTTTTAGCAGCTGTTTGAAACAGTGTTTCTCAAACAAGTAGTCTTCACCAAAAGTGGGTTGTAAGGCTACATTTGTCGGGTTTCAGAGATTAATTTTATGCACAGCATGGCCAACATTTAGCACAGAGTTTAAATATAAGAAAATATTTTAATGAAATTATATTGTGTTAGCCTGGACTGATGTTTCAGGCTGAGTTGCAGCCTGAAACATCAACAGGGGGTGCTAATATGCACATTAGAACCCATGTTTTTTCAGTTGTCTATGCTGGTACAACATTATTAATTTATATCAATTTAATTGCATAAGGCATAAAAACAGAACTTTGCAGGGTATTTTAGTGCTGAGCACACAGTGGTCCATGGAGCCGTACACTAACAATGGCTGGTATAATATTAGAAATCTCATTGTATCTTGATGTCCAAACCTAAAATTTGAAAGTGTTGCAACACGGTTGCACCTCAGATGACCGTAAAAATAAAATATTTTGCAACAAAACAAAACCTGTAACACTAAAATGATTGCAACGTGCTAGCTTACTGTTCTTACGATAACATTTTGTCACAATTTATAATGTATCCCAAGTCCAAACATTTGAGAAGCACTGGTTCAACGTGCCCCACGTGAAGACTTTCAGAGTTTAGATCACGATGAGAAAGGAGTTTCCTCATATACTGTACCTGAAAATAATAGAAATATTGTTATGATTGTTTGTGACATGTTGTGACAAATGTTTGAATATGTCATGTGCGCCCCTGTTCATGGAGATTGTGTCAATGGCCCTGTCAAAAAAAAAACAAAAAACAAAAACCTAGTGGACAATAAGAATGTTTGGTCAGACTGATGGAAACATTTGTATTAAACACATTTTTCAACAGTCTGATCTAATGATAAAACATACTTTAGAAAACATATGCCTTATATCAATATATTTCTACAGTTTTGCATCTGTTCAGTACACTTTATTGAATTGTGTCGTGTAAAAAAAATCGTTATGTGAAATAGTTGCCACATACTTCTTTTTTCCAACTAAGGCCAAAATGACAGATTGTATAACGGACCCAAAATCTACCCTGAGAGGCTTGAAGCTAAAGAAAAGACTGACTATCTACTATTGGTTGTGTTGAAATTTTCCAGATTGTGGTGAAACTGTGCTGTTTCATTGACCTCTGGCCTAAACATGGACTCGCACTCACACTGATTTAATTTGTGCATATTTTAACATTTCATGTTGGTAGTTTTTAGTTCCAGTTAATTCAACATTGTGCAAAATGTAATATTGCAAATAAATGTCAAGTACATTCTACACTGTGGGCTGGGATGTTTGATTTTTTAATCAAAAATATACATATATTAAAACATGGTTACAGAAATGCACAAAAAAGGTTTTAACAGGCCACCCTGTCCATGTGGGCTCCACATGGGTTTACTTGGGTTATACAGGTACAAAGTGGCCCATTTGAACAAAGTCACATAGGGTCATTCACTTCTACTGCTGCCACATCCTTGGTTGCAACTAAAATTAAATCTCTAAATTTTCCAGACGGAAAACAAATCCAGGTTTTTGTTATCAATTAATAATCTTCCAGGTTGGAGTTGTCAAAGTCACCTTTCTGAGAGACATCAATTTTTCAATATGATAACTCCTCTGTGATTCATTATTTGGAGTAATTCTTGTTAAAATACAGAAATATAATTTATTTGACCCAGAAGTCTGCACAAAGAACAATTTCCAAACAAGGATCTATTTTGTTGAAGGATGGATGGATGGATGCATTGAATCTTACTATTTTAAGATTAATGTATTTCAACAAAACAGTACCAGATCCAGAGAATGACCCCAAGTTGTGCCTCTGACCTCTGTGGACAGGAGTATCTCTGCTAACGTGACAGGAATTATACCAAAGGAGCATGTACAACTAGTTCATGTTGCATTGCATTTTAATCAATATTTTGATCATGCGATGCAATGCCCTGTGTAGAGGTCAGCTCCTATGGTTTTTCTGTGTAACTACCTACCACTTCTGTGTCTGTGTGGTAGCAACAGGAACAACTTCTTCTCCAGACAGCAAACAAACAGAGCGTCTGCATCATGAATAATTGATCTTCTAGCTTATCTCATAAACGAATTTGGACAGCGGCAACAAAATGCAGCGTTACCATAGCAACAACATCCTCCTCCTGCATCCTCGATCCGCCTCTGTGATTGGTCAACAGCTCTTTGGGTGTCACTGGGGCAACAGAATGATGGGAATTTTAACACATGAGCGGAAAAGCTAGGAGCTGGGTGCAGGCTGAGCAGTGAGCACAGAGCAGAAGGCAGCTATTGGACGATTCACACATCCGTCTGAGGCAGAGAGGCAGGGCTGCCTTTTTCCCCTTTCAATCTTATTTATTTATTTTTGCCTCAGTACGGGAGCCGAGTGGGGGCCGGCTGGGTATTCAGCGGCCGTGGGTCTCCACCCGAGAGTATGGCGGCAGCTGCAGCTGCACTGGAGAGCGGGGGAGAGACGGAGACATGGTGAAGGAGAAACAAAGAATAGCCAAGTTCCTCCACACAGTGTCTGCATCCTCTTTGGTTTGGGCTGTGTTCACGCGGCGGGCCTCCTGCTCCTCCAAACACCGGCGGCTGCACCTCCTTCAGCAGCTCTAACCTCAGCCTTTTCACCGCCAGTGTCCTCGATGGAGGAGCAAGTTTGGGTTTTTTTGTTTTTTTCTTTTTACCTCCGAATCTCAGTGAGGACTGGACCAAGCAAATGAAAAACCTCAACATCGGGTCCAGTCTTCTCCTCCTCCTCCCTGTGCGCCTCATTTCGGGACATTTGCTCCTCCGCTGCCCCTGTAGCTGTCAGATCTCTGTGGCCTGCATGGGGTAAATTTCTACAATGAAATCCATCTTGGGGCAGGGAGTCTTTGTCCTCTGCCATAGCTGTAGCTGAGCAGCAGCAGCCGCGGCGGCGGTGAGCAGGGGAGAGACCCCGTTATCGTCGACTTCCACAAAACATCCAGAATATGGGAAGTGAATGGTGACTGCACTTGGATGAGTTTGTTTCAATGACGCGCAGAGATTTGGAACCGTAACGACTTTGATCGCGGGGGATAACGAATCCACGATGCGCGAGTATAAAGTGGTGGTCCTGGGCAGCGGAGGGGTCGGGAAATCCGCCCTCACTGTGCAGTTCGTCACCGGGACGTTCATTGAAAAGTATGACCCCACCATAGAGGATTTTTACCGCAAGGAAATCGAGGTGGACTCGTCGCCCTCGGTGCTGGAGATCTTGGACACCGCCGGCACCGAGCAGTTCGCCTCCATGCGGGACCTTTACATCAAGAACGGTCAAGGTTTCATACTGGTCTACAGCCTGGTCAACCAGCAGAGCTTCCAGGACATAAAGCCGATGAGGGACCAGATCATCAGAGTGAAAAGGTTGGTGAAACCACACACAGGGAGTCGGTCTGATATGGTCCCATGTGGACCGAAGTCCACATGGGACTCAGTATTAGAGAGATCGGCCCGGTCCTGGTATCAGCAACTGTTCTTGCATCTGAGCTATTTTGGTGCACAAGGTCTGACCCACAGTGCTGAGTGGTTCTGCAGTGCAACCATCTGTGCAGGTCATAATTGATGGTTTAAAGGAATTACCTCGTCCATGTGATTCAACACTCAGTCACTTACAGTGTGATTATTATTCAGAACAATCATGACTAGACTGATGCAGGCTCAGGGTAGAGTTTGCAGCAATTTCCTGAAAACCACTATTTTTCCACATATCCTTTTCAGGGACCCAGTCCCAGCAGACATTGGTTGAGGGCGTGGTACACCAAGAAAGTTTACCAGTCATCACATAAAATTAGACCTGGTGAAACCGGCAGGGAAACTACCCTCTGTGTGGCGTTTCACGTCGTTTTCAAATTTAATTCAAATCTGGAATATTTGCTGTTGAAAAATAGACTCAGAAGGTGGTAGCGATGCACCTCAAATGATGCTGAGACTGAGTCAAAAACTGCTGGCCAGAGGCTTCTTGCTCAGTTAAATCTCCATGTCAAACATTTTCAAAGTTTAAGGCGTGGGTGTTTAATTTAATAATGAATTGTTGACAGTGCTGGAGGTGAACAGCTCCACGAAGTGGTGGAGCTTTGCAAAATTTTAGCTCTGATCTGACGTTTCTGTGTGTTCTTGAACCCAATGAACTGTACACCTGATGTACACATATCAGATAAAGGAATTTATGTTTGAGATGCTCTAGTAATATAATAGTAAGTCAGTAATATTATCAATCACTATGTTGATTAGATATCACATAAATGACAGTAATAGTGCCTGCCAATATACAGCCTTGGTGATTGTCTGGAATTGCGTACAATAAGAGAGATTTGGCACATTCCAGTTGGAATCATGACAGGGTGTGGACAGATGACTGTGTTCAGGGAGTGGATTTGTTACGGCGTAATTCTTTTGGCCATTTTGGTTGGTACTACAAATAAAAAAATGGCTGTGAAGAGTTGTTGTTGGCTCTTAAATCAAAAGTTTGTGGAAGACTGTTGTGGACATTGTTGCGTCTCAGGAAGGACAGGTAATGTGAAGACCCATCTGTCCTCCAGACATAACATGCTACAGATGCCGCCTGTGAGCCGCTCTGCTCCAGCTCTGCAGCTCTTAACGTCTACTCTGCTTGATGCTGCAACCTCAGTGAAACACCCATCAGGGGGATACCCAGGATTTAGTACCACACAAGCTCAACTGATCTTCAGGAGGCACATTTCAGAGAGACTGTAGGTGGTGAGGGAATATGGAGTCACAGTGGCTTTTGTAATTAAAAAGCTCTCCAGGAAGAGCAGCAGCGCCGAAGGTGAGAGGTTTTCCTGTTCCTGGACACTGATAAAGGGATATGAGGTCATCAGAGGGAGCGGCTAGATGATGGAAGAGGTTAGCTGAGGCGAATTAAGTATTAACTTGGATTTGCATATTAATATTATTTTTTTTAAAGACCCACAAAAAAGTCACTATTGCAGGGCTGTTAGTTAGAAATTCACTGGTGATTGTAAGATCAGTTCCAGTAATAATGAGCAGGCAGCGTCACTCAGCTGAGCCCGTGTGGGTTCATCAGTCGTTAGAGGTGTCAGTAGATGTGTCACAGTCACACGTTCAGTAGAGAACACACTCTGGCCACAAAGCATAATAAAAGCAGCGCACATTAACCTAACCTGGGCACTTTGGTGTGTTCTGGGAAATTAGCACCACCAAAAAATAACCTTGATTTTGCCACAACATTAGAGTTAGAATTACTATTTATTTTATTTTTGTCTTAAGCGCTTACTACTTAAATGTGACTCAAAATATATATTTTTAAACATCTGACTATTTCTAACTTATGTCTTCAAAAACTCTGATTTAAGTGTTAGCACTGTTTTGACAATTATTTAAGCTGTTTCTGCTTAAACATTTATCCTATTGTGTTGTGGAAATTGCTTTTTTATTTTCTTACTTCAATAGTTAATTTATTTAATTTTTTTCAGCCATTTCTGTGTTAACAACCGCAATTAAACTAAAATTCTATTCTAACAAATATTTTATGTGTAGTATGGCTAGCTATTACTATAGTTTCCAGTGGCAGTTGCTTAAATGACTAACTACTCTTTGGAATGGTAGCATACAATATTTTAGCTAATTTCTTTGTTTTGGCTAGCTTTTCTACTATTACTCTGGTCAAATCTAGCATTTTTGTTGCCATCATTGCTAACTTTAACTTATATTTGTCACTTTAATCTCTACCTAGGGTCAAATTTAGATGTTGAGTTTCAGCTAATTCTGTAAATTTAAGATATACTATATTTTTGCTAATATCCCTTTTTTATCTGGGCTAACCTCTGTGTTCTGACTTATTTTATTTTACTTATAAGGCATAAAAACAGGTGTGTGTCGGAGCAAATGGCCACCATCCATCAGCCATAAAGATACACACAGTACACAGATAAATTGCACTGTCTGCCTAACTAGTTATTTACTTCTGCCCCGCACATGGACTGTGGAGTTGTTACATACGATGTGTGGTGTTTAATTACATTCCTTCGTCTGGAGATACATTTTTTAGTTTTTCTCGTTCCCATGCACCTTATAAACAATCCTATAAATCTGTGGATGAAAGAATGAGGTCAACATGTTTCCCCCATATGAGTAGAGAATGTGATGCGGTGCTATGAGTCTGGTGTCTGTGTATGAGTGTGTGCGTGTGTGGACTTTATGCCAGCGAGGACAGCTTGAAAACACATAAACCAACGGGGACCTGATGGCTGTCCCTGGGGGTTGTATCTGCTTTTTGACAGTTCAGACCTTTTATGGTTGGACTGGGCATTTAGATGTGATGTTTAAAGTTGAGGCAGCAGAGGAAAGGAATGCAGCGCACCAAATAACCCACCCTCCCACCCACCCACACAACTTCGATCCCACCCTGGAGGATAGTGAAACAAGTGTCTTAATGTGTTAAATATGTAAATGCCGGTGGGGTCCTCACACCGCAGACGGATTCAGGCTGTTTGCTGTCAGCGACTGCTCGTTATATGTCACAACAGGATTATTTATTTTATTCTGTTTTTTCAAACATAATCACATCTCACATTAGCTTTTACTATTAGTCTTGAAGGTTTTTTTAATGTTAGATAGTTTTAAAATCATCACTGCATTTTAACCCGAAGCAAACATTTGTTGGATTTCATTTGAGGTTTGAATGAATGTCTTTAAAAACAAATATATGATTTATATATTTATAGAGAGAGCATAGGAGAAAGGGTTTTAATGTTTGATTCTATACATGTACACACTACTAGCTCTATGTTTTTATCGGTAAATGCTTAAAAAAAAAAAAAAACAGTGGACAGCGTCAAATCACCTAAACACAACACCATATATTCATATAACCAAGTGGAATACTGATCATGAAGGTCCACTGAGACATTTTCCAATGAGCCAAACGTCCAATAACTACCATTGGTCGAAACACAACCCCTGCAGAGAATCCATAACATATATGTCAGGGTTCAGGCTCCGACTGCTGACAAAGTATCCATAAAAAATGTTGTTCTTGCTAACAGCCTATTAGTTCATTGTTGCATGGAGATGACTGTCCAGTTATATGTGTTGACTAAACCAAAACACACACAACGTAAGAAAGGAAAACAGCCTCCTTTTACATGTTCAGCTCAGGGTCCACATTCAGCCTGTGAGCCACCTATTTCAAGGCTGCAAACTAAAGACGTGAAATGTTCAGGTCAGCGTGAGGAAATGGGCCGTCATCCCTATTTGATGGCCATTGGCCTATAGAACAGGACTGAGTCATGTGTCTAATTTTTAGCCTTTGCATCTTCAGTACAATATATTTAGTTAAAGGGAAAAACGGTGCTTCACAGTAGAGCAACACATTCTCAAATGTGCGCGGCACTCGTTGAAGGATCGTGGGATTCCGCCCTCCTACTGCGCTGCTTCTTACAGATAAATATTGGTGACCCCTCAGCGGTGGCACAGGTCACTTTCACAGCGAAGTGTCACTCCAACACTCACCCCTGCCAACATTTATCAGTGCCTGCTGTTAGTGCCACAAATGAGCTTCAGCACGGCGGCCATGATGGCACCACGGCACGTGTCTGCCGCTGACCTCGTGGCTTTCGTGTTAGTAACTCTGGTTATGTTGATGCAGCAGAACTGGTTTTAACACTGTAAAGATTCAAACTTCACTCTGAGTGTGGAGCAGAAGACATCCTGTCACCTTCATCTTTGTTGTAAAACTGGGCAAAAAAAAAAAAAAAAGAGTTCAGGGATGGTTACTCAACATTCCACTTGGTTTCTTAAATTTTGGTTAAAAGACTGAAGGCCGTTACAGTCACAGACTCAGACTTCATAGACCAGACAACACAGAGATATACAGTAGTCAATAAACCAGACAATAAAACTGGCCATGGGGGGGGATAAATGTAGAATTCTGAAACCATTTCCAGTCTAATGGCCATAAAGGTCTTCAGATGGTGTCATTTGTCCTGAGCAGCCCTTCACATTACCGAATATAATTTGCATTCTGTACAGAAAAGAGACCAGCAGGAGAGAAAAAGACTTCCACTTCAACAAAGTTTTTTCTTAGTGTTGAAAGTTTTTAAATCTGCATGTTTGGTATGATGTTGAGCAATTGACAAATAACACATACATGTAGCTGTGTACAGGTATGTGAGTTATAAAAAGACTTCCACTTCAACAAAGTTTTAGGTTAGTTAGAGGTTGTGATTTGAATGTGTAGATTTTTAATTTGATTAAAACATCAATAAACATACATGTGACTTTTATTTAGCTTACAAATGGCTTGGACTGAAACTGGATGGCTAGCTTCCAGCAACTCTGGTGCATTTGGTCCCTAGAATTTATAAATCCCATAGTGTGATAAGAGGGTTTTAGAAGGTTTAGTGACACAAAGTGTAGATGTTCAAAGAGCAACATTGATAAATAACACATTAGTGGAGCTACGTATATATGTTAGCTTGTCACATAAACCATTTGGGGATATGCTAGGTCTTGGTAGTGAAATATCTTCAGTAGAAAGTGTCATTTTGACCATTATTCTAAGATACAAAATAGATTTACGAACAGCTGTGTGACCTCTGTCCTGGTGTCTCTGCAGGCTGCATGAACGCACCCTTGACAGAGTTGGACCTAAGTTTCATATTTATAAGACATGAAAACCCATTGAAGAAGCATAAGACTTTGTCCATTTTGACGTCATGGCCGGTCACTGGACACCTGTGAATAATCACACAGCCTTTTATATCCAAGCTGTTTTCCTGGGTCAGTGAACACTTTGGGATTAGAGGAATCTGGATATGTTTGTTCTGGTTTGATCATTAAAGATACTCAGGATGTCGGTTACTGATCTGTCCTGGAGGAGCTGCTCGGAGCTCTCTGACTCGGTTCAATTTTCTCTAATGGCTAAACTGGGAACTGGGTTTTTCTTCCTCATTCTGGTGCCGTTGGCTAGGCTCAAATTTAGAGACTCATGCCGCTGGGTTCCACTGTCCTCCAGTTGATTCAGACTCGATGCATCGTGAATAATAGATGAGGCGTTTGTTTGGACATGCTGACATTGGTTGGTTCGGAGCGCCGCAGGGCTCCAGGTGGCCGTCAGTCTCACCAACAACAACGTGTCCTATTGTCCGTGTCACATTTGAGTCCAATCCATTTAGAGACTGTTCTTTATCGCACACCATGTCTGGCTCGTGATCTTGCGTCAGTCACTGTTGTGCGGCCGCCATGGGAGCCTCAGTATCCGTGGCAGCCGCAGAATCACACCTCCTGGGACTGCCAGTTTCCTCCTCTGTTATTATGTCTATATTTGGATCCTCTCCTTTGGGTACTACGTGTCTCTTTGCTGTCCCTCTGGTATGACAACGCTCTAATTCAGATTCCAAACTGCCCTAAAGTCACCGTTCTAAAGATCCAAGTCTGTACTTAGAACTTATGAACGAACGAATTTAAACATTATTTAACCAGGAACAGGAGAACAGAAGCTGATGAAGAACCAAGCCCTGGCTGAACAGGTCCAGGTGTCTGACTGTAGACTGACTGTAGTCTGACTGTAGACTGACTGTAGTCTGACTGTAGACTGACTGTAGTCTGACTGTAGACTGACTGTAGTCTGACTGTAGACTGACTGTAGTCCGACTGTAGACTGACTGTAGTCTGACTGTAGACTGACTGTAGTCCGACTGTAGACTGACTGTAGTCTGACTGTAGACTGACTGTAGTCTGACTGTAGACTGACTGTAGTCTGACTGTAGACTGACTGTAGTCCGACTGTAGACTGACTGTAGTCTGACTGTAGACTGACTGTAGTCCGACTGTAGACTGACTGTAGTCTGACTGTAGACTGACTGTAGTCTGACTGTAGACTGACTGTAGTCTGACTGTCCCATAGTGACTGTATACACCTGCCTTTAACTTTTGCACAGCACGGCTTCAGACGACTAAAGAAATTCTCCAGAGAATAAAAGTGTAAGACCTGAGTTATTACCTCTTTCAGTGGTAGAAACCATGGCACCCAAAGGGTACAATTAGCCTAGCTACACCCTGAGACCCCTGTGTTGGCTCCTAAATGGGTACAGCTGTAAAAGTAAAGACTCTGCCTTTCAATCTGCTCACCCACATCTATGTTTTTAAGAGAAGGTGGAAAAGGAAATATAAAGTTACAGGCAAAAAACTGCATAGTACTACGACTACAAGTGCTTTAAAATGGAAAAAGACATGGTCACTGATTGTCATGGTGCTTTCTAGTTTGAGATTTTTTCAACCTTAGAGATAAAAAAATGTGATTATGCTTTATTTCAATTAATCATATTTGTGTTACCAGACCATACTGTAATATATATACTGTATATAAATTAAGTGTATAGTGTGTTTTTTACAAACATATTCAAATACGACCTAGTTTAGATTATTGTTGCTCTTTAGCTTTTACCTTTTTGGTATTTCTGTAATATTTTACATACTCCATACTGTTTATGTTTGAGTTACTTTAGTATATTTAATAAAATATTAAACCCTACTGATGTTGTTTAGTGGAAATGACTGCTTTGTGGTGACAACGTCATGAACAAAGACATTAAAAGACAATTAAAAACAATTAGTCATACTGACAAACAAATGTCTGAATAAAAAATTAAAAAAACAGTTTGTTGACTAAAGAAAGTGAATTTTAATGTTATGAATGAATGTGTGATTTCTCTCTGATGGTTTTTGTTCTTTATTCTTCTTTCCTCTTCTGATGTGCCTGCGAGGTCCACAGTTTATGCAAAATGATGAAGTGATTATGTTGTGCAGACAGCAGGAGGCTGTGGTTCCTATAAATACAGGGAGCAGTCGCCCGTCGAGTTTAAATAACTGTCTTCTCCGCCTGCCTACAAAGTAGAACCGTTTTGTCCCAGCTCCAACAAGTTCAAAGACACTTCCTTCCTGCCTCTTAGACCGAGGTGTGACGCCTGTAATGGCCGTCCCCACTATATACAGTATATGATATTCTATGTAAATTTAGAAGTACAGTACCGCAGAGCAATTTTATTGCCCATGTTTAAAGTAAAAAGTACAGAACAGCTGTTTCTTATTGCACTTTTGCTGTCTGTAATCACTGCGTCCATGTGTGTCCTCAGGTATGAGAAGGTTCCCGTGATCCTGGTGGGGAACAAGGTGGACCTGGAAAGCGAGAGGGAGGTATCTGCTAACGAAGGCCAGGCTCTGGCCGAGGAGTGGGGCTGCCCATTCATGGAGACTTCAGCAAAGAGCAAAACAATGGTAGACGAACTGTTCGCCGAAATCGTTCGGCAGATGGACTACGCTGCCCAGCCGGATAAGGATGACCCCTGCTGTTCATCTTGCAATATACAATAACCCCCCTGACCCCTCGACCCTTATAAGGCCTCCAGGATCAGGGTCAGGAGAAAGTCCTCGATGACCTGCAGCAGAGACTCCCACACGCACACACATGCACATGGAAACTAAACCGTAGATCAATTCATGGTTGAACGCAATGGATGTTATCTCTATGGATCATTATTATAAATCAGCAGTGACATGATTAATAGTAGTGACAGTGGTTAATAAATACATTTTAAATGAGGACTGACACAGAGTTTCTGCGGGAGAAATTTGACAAATGACTAAAGTGATCATGCCTTCGCCTTATATTGAGATCATTTTATTTGTTTGATTTTTTTTATTCACATTTCCCTCACTAAACACAAGCTGTTTTTTTTCTGAATTTGTTTTTTATTCCTAACAGCCAGATTATTTTCTTGTTACCACTAAATAATCACTTCATTTGAACTCAATGACAGCTCTGGATCCATTTATTACAAACATGGAGAAAGACTGGAGTTGCATTTACTCATCACAGGTCTAAACCAAAGAGGTGACCGTAAAGCGCCTCCGTTTTTTTTCTCCATATTTTTAAATATAAAAATATATTTTATTTCCCAGCACTTAAAAAACAGGAATGGAGAGAAAATGGTAAATAAGTCAGAGTTAATATGCAGTTAATGCATCTCATATCATGTGATGTTTTTTTTCTTTCTGACAGCAGATTGTAACGCAGCAGAATCCTATACTTCTTCGTCCTGGGGTAAAGAGTTCATCTTTTTAGTGTTTCATTAGTCCTGAAGATGATTTGACATCGTCTGCCATTCTTCTCAGTTCTCTCCTCCCTCCTCAGTAATGTTTGGGATAATCAGGAGTTGTTCCAACACCTTGGTCCCACTCCTCATGTTGCTCAGAGTATTCATCATCAAATATATAGTTAGAAAAATAATAATAATGAGGTATAATGAATGATTCTAATGAAGATTAACAAATGGTATTGTAAATATTTTCTATTGAAAGTGCCAGCTCTTGTGAAGACATTGACTCAACATGTGGAATTGTCAACTGTATGCATGGCTAGAAAACAAACAACAAGAGGAGTCTTTATTGTCTGAATTTAATATAGGCTGTGGAAATGTGCAAACCAAACACACACACACACACACGTTTGGATTTGGACTTTGTCTCAAATGTAGAACGTCATTGTTGCCACGGGAGCCAGACGTTTGCCCCTGTGACCATTTTCATTGTTGATTTTTCTATTTTTTTAATGTGACCATTTACTCTTTATTCCCTCTCTGAATGGTGACACCGTACATTTGACGCCTGAACAATAAAAGTGCGTTCAACACTCAGCGCATGTTGTCAAGTTTCAGTCAATTCATACAGAAGTCGAGCTGCACTTTGTTCTTTGTTGTATAATAGGATTGATTATAATAGATAATATAAAATATAAATGAATCAAGCAGATACATTGACCATTAATTGCAGCAAGTCCAAGCAGACAGTTTTCAGTCACACGCTTCTGATGTCATAATTCTGCGTCATAGCAAATTCATTAGCATATGAGCTAACAATGGCTAACAATGTGATTGAGACCAAGTTCAACTAAAAGTGAGTATGAACCAGCTGTAGCTGCAGCAGCAGCTAGTGCAGAAGTGTTCAAAGTCATGTGCCTAATTTTGTTTAGCTTTAAGATGCAGTTAATTTGAACAAACAACATTTGAAGTAGTTTGAACCTTTGGTTGAAAAAGGGAGAAAAAACATCTAGGTTGAAGAGAAACTGGAGCTGAGTGACTGCTGTGGGAGCTATTCACAAACTCAAAATTCAATCATGAATAAAAACAGGTCAATACTTGGGAAATAACTGGACATTTTAACTTATTCTGTGTTTGTGTGGAAATGTAATGGTCAGGTCAGTGAGGTAAAAAAGAAAATCATCAGTGGTTTAAAATGAGTTGTGAAAACAGTTTTAAATCACAACCCAAACGTGCTCTGTTGGTAGCTGCTCTGTTGGTAGCTGCACCCAAACGTGCTCTGTTGGTAGCTGCTGCTGAGCAGCCGTTATCCAACATGGTACTGATATAGTACTGCCATAACCAATATAGTACTGATAGAGTACTGCCATATCTAATATAGTACTGCCATATCCAATATGGTGCTGCCTGACTGACAGTTAACCCACAGGTCTGTTACTCCTTTGGGATAACTGATATACTGCGGAGCACCTTCTTCTGAGATGCTTGACTATTCACATGATGCAAATGATCCAATATACAGCAGGTTGGTGGCTCGTGTGTGTGTGTGTGTGTGTTCACGGCCTACATGTCGTTCATCCAGCCTGATGAGACAGGGCAGGCGTCTGACGGTGATAGGTCTCTGTGGGGTTCATTAGCAGGCAGAGCTCCTCAGGCATCGCTCAGTCTCCTGCAGCATAATGTCTAGATGGTAAATGTGGTGCGATGTTCTTGTTGACCACTGAAAGAGCTTTAATGAGAATTGATTGCTGAATGTTCATCCCAGCAGCCACACAAGTGCATTTAGGTTTCCTTTTTTATCCTTAAGTAGAAATAAGGTTCACAGACAAGATAGATATGTGAGATTCTGAATTCTCAGCTGGAAGCTGGCTGTACTATAAAAATAAAATCTGCTAAAAAACAACCCCTGGTGTTTTCACAGCGTAGGTGTATGAACTAATAGGCGCTGACTCACTCTTACCTGCTCTGAGCTCTGTGAGGCACGGACAGACGCTGCGGCTGTGACACAGCGCTCTGTGTTTGTTCCAGCCCAGATCTCCTCCTCCTCCACTTCACTGTGTCAAATGTCAAGATGAAAGGGATGAGCCGCGTGAATCAGGCCACCACCCCACAAACCCTGGGGGCACGGGGGTTATGCAGCAGTGCATGTCTGCACAGAAACTTTCCTCCCAAAAGATACAAGTTCATGAGGCCATTGTAGAACAGAGGAACCAGGAATGTAGTGAGGATAAAGGAGATTCAAACCACTCCAACAAACAAAGAAGTCTTTAAATTACTTTAATCCCCTCATTGATCAGTGAAGCAGTAAAGTCACACAGGTCCTGACTGAAAAGAGAAAGTGGAGGAAAAGCTCTTTGTAGCTCTGCAGGAGAGAGCAGAGGTCAGAGTCAATAGGATAAATAAAAAGAGAAGTGATGAAGCAGGGCCAGATGTTTTATACATTAGACTCGTCCGTGAAGGTCATCCAGGTCATTTCATCATTGAGAAGAATCTTCCTGAATGATGGTGAGTTTCACCATCATCAGCCTTTGGAAATGTAAGCCAGTCCATTTGCCTGTTACTGAACTCTGTTAGGACACATTAGACTTAATACTGCATCAGTCAATAAATGAACGAGGTAAGGTCTCATGGAGAATCAAATCCCTCTCAGGGCGGAGACATGTTCAAGACGGCAGCAGTGTAATGATACAATATCATCAGGTTACATACAGCTGAGGACAGCGATGATACCTGTTATCAGGGGAAATTAATGGGCACATTCTTTTTTTCTACAAAACATGCATATATACAGTACAGTAAAATAAAACTCCTGACCCAAAATGTTCATGACTGGCCTGACCACAGGGGCAGATGTTGAGAGTACAGTATGTGTGGCCTGTGTTGTACCTGACCCAGAAATCCTCTCTCCTGAGGAGAGCGCTGCTGTTATCAGCCCCCACGCTCCAGCAGCCTGTGATGTGTGTTTTATTATGTTGGAGACCATGTTGATGTGATGGAGGGGGAGGATGGAACAAACATGATGAGTTGGTGCTGTCAGAAAAGACGAATAACTGGGAGTCATGGCAACCAGATGGCAACACCAGTGGATGATTTCACGGAGTCATTTGTAACCGTGACAGAGGATTAAATGGAATTATTTATATATTTATTTAATTGTAAGGAGGAGGGATTAAAAACTGTCCCTAAAGTAGAATATTATGAAATAAGTAATAGAATTTTTATTATTTATTGTCATCCTATTTATTATTAGTAGTTGTAGTACAAGTAGTAGAATAGTAGTAGTGGATTTATTATTAGTAGTTGTAGTACAAGTGATTGAGTGAATGATTTTCCACTTTTTATTATTATTGTTATTTTTCATTTATAAATGTATTTTATGAATTTGAAGATTAAGTAAAACAAAAACAACTTTATAAAATATACATTATCTAACATTTTACTATTTTTCAATAGATTGTTACCTGAATTTTAAGTTACTTGCTACCTATTTATTGTGACTACTACATACACTACGAATATTGTAGTTGTTGTAGTAGCTTGGCTAATTTATAGCTACATATTATACATATAACTAACTCTAAACTATTTTCCAAGCCATGGGCTTTTTGTTATCTTTTTGCAAAAGTATTAACTTTGTTTAACTTAGTTATAGCTGTTAGCTACAGCTGTAAGAACACACACTTATATAAGGAAAGTTCCAGTTTTTATGTGGCCTAAAATTGCTTTTGTCGTAGAAAACATTTTCTGTTGTTCACTTTCCTCAACTGATTATCCTTAAAGAAAAAAAAATCATGTTTTACAAGGAGGTGAGTGGAGAGAGTAATTGACATGAAATAAATCATGGTTCCATGTGAACAGTCTCCCGTGAACATTTGTTTGGTTGCTCTCAAATCTTCACAGTTTATGATGAAATTGTTTGTCCCTTAGTTCGGAGCCCACAGCTGTACCATCTGGCCCTCGAGACGCAGTCTTCTGAAGTTATGAAGCGTAAAAGTAATTAGGTGGATTTATGCAAGAGCTAAATGACTTTGTTTGTCCCCTCACTCCGGATCAGACCAATTCCTCACCGGCTGACAGCAGTTTTTGTAAACACAGACTTGTTGCCTAAGCTGTAAATTCCAAATATGAAACGTAAAATACTTTCTTTTTTTCCCCACAATAAGGTGCGTGCACATCTGACAGTATCTGTGCTGTGCATGTAATTAAAGTCAGGCGGTGAATGCCTTCGCAGTGTATTTCCCTGGGGGTAATTGTTTTTTATCTCACTTGTGTAAACAGAAACATAGAAACATTTAAGTCTTTTTGCTACTACACATCTGACAGATGGGAAGTGAGTGAAAGCGGTGTGTCTTCTTCATTTATTTTTTATTATAGCTGATGAGGCAGCTGCTGCCTTAACTCCTCTTGCGGAGGTGGAGGAGGAGGAGTAAGATGAGGAGGAGGGAGACTGAAATAAATCTCCACAGAAAGAAAAAGGAGGCGCTTTATTTCTGAACCTTAGATAATCCGCTTCAGGCCCTGTCTCTGAGCAGTTCTAACATTTAACCACAATTAGTAACGTATGTTGTTGTGGTTGGATGTCAGGAAAAAATAACTTGACATGACAATAAATGCCACAGAGGCCCAAAAAAAAATAACTTGACATGACAATAAATGGTTTACAATATTTAAAATGTAATTTTATTTAAGAGCCAAACACCTAAAAACAAACACAGTGGTCTTCTACTAATGATTGAACCAGATTTTTAAAATTGGAACATGGACTAAAATGCTCTGTGTTTTAACAGATGATTCCAGTTACCTGCCACAGAAACATCTGGAACAAACATACTGTCCAGTCTAGACAGAACAACAGAAAGTTCACTACCTGCCACAGTGGCCCAACCAAGTTGAATTTCCTCTTTTTTGCAACTTGATCCAACTGAAGTAACCAGTCGACGCCAACTGTAGCAAAAATGATAGCAGAAATAAACAGCATACTGTAAAAATATTGATAACTGCTACTTGATTTAAAGCTGAAATTCTCTAGGAAGAAAGTCAATCAGTGTCTTTTTGTCATGTCATGATGTCAGAAGTGCACAGACAAACAAATTCAGGAGCTGCTGATATACAGTAATGCAGCCAGTGAACTCTCTGGTCCAACTAATACAGTACAGTTTATAACATTACCTCATACATCAACTAAATTAACAATCGCTGTCATCATTTGGATTAAAACTATGTTGTAGATGTGTCCCCTCACTGACACAGTGTTGACTTTATTTCTATTCTTTCTATTTTTATTCCCTTTTTCTTGACAGTAGACCTGGGCTGTGGCACTGACTGGTGCCTCCGCCACACTCTGACAGGAGATGAAGGTAGGGAGTAAATAAAAGGCACTGAGTGAAGACTGCAAGTGGTTTTCCACCCATTCTCCTGCCCACTGCTTGTCCACCTTCACACTGACAGGAGAACTCTCCTACACTTTTGTGTTCTGGGATTTAAGATGGGAAATCAACCTCCGAGCCTTGGCAGATTTAATGTTTTTTTTTCCACAGGAGGCAATAACTCAGAATAAAAGGAGCAGAGGAACAGATTAAAAACAATTCAAGTGAAATACCAAAAAGAAATAACAAGCGACATAAAACTTTATGTTGTCACTTTCTGTCCATCTTCTAAACTTATTCTGCTGCAATAGCCATGGTTTACAGTGGAGCCAGATTCATAGACACTGGGTAACAGCAGGGTTGGATCCTTAACAGACCAATATACAGAAATAAAAACTTGAATGTCTACTGACAGTTCTTTTACTAGCACAGTAAAAAAAGAGCCTTTTCCCTCATCCACAGTGGTTCAATACTGATGTCAGTCAACATGCTAGGCTTCTTTTAATTGATAAAGCATTAGCCAAGCTAGCTTAACGTTCATATCCCTGTTATTTCAGGTAGGAGCAATATAAACAATGACATCTGTTGTTAAAGGTTGAATTCATGTTTAAGGACAATTTAAAGTTAATAATAGAGAGCGTAAATTAGGGAAAAATAAGAACTCTTATTATCGATTATGTTAAACTTGAACAAAAACACCCTAAAATGAAACAGAAATTAACATATTCTAACAGACAACACAATGTATAAATAATGCGGCTAATAAGGTCTGAATATTCTCTGAAATTAAGCCCAGAAATACCTAAAGGTTCTCCAAAATATTTCACTCAAAAAGAGCACATTTGGTTTAAGTCGCTAGATGGTGCTGTTGCTCCGACTTTGCTACAGACTACTGCTGCTGCTGCTGCTGCTGCTGCTGAGTAGGAGGAGGAGGTTTAAGGAGCTGCACCTCCTTCATTGTCTGAGTGAAGGCACCGGCAGTGAATCCGCCGCTCTCCTCAGTCTAATCCCTTCTCTCCCGGACCAACTCGCTCAGTCGTCCGACATGGCGACCGCAGAACGCCGCCTCCTCCTGCCCCTGCTCCCCGCCTCCATCTGAGACTCCTCCGTGGGATTCCATTTCTACCTCTTCCTACACATACGGGACGTGGATGTAAAAACATTTCCTCCTTCTTGCAGGGACGTAACGGACGACTGTGTGCGTGGACTGTGTGGATTTAAGCCCCGGTTGTTCCACAGAAGTGGGTAAGAATCGTGCAGCAGAGTCCTGCCTGCATGTGTGTCTTCTTAAGGAGGAGTGATTCAACTAGTTTGAAGGGATTAGGGTTAAACTCCTGGGACTGTTTTAGCCCTCCTGTGCTGTGATCCCTATCACTCCTGTGAGGAATCTTGCTTTTTAAATGCCCTGCTCTGTCCCACAGTGTGGGGCTACTATATTACTACATGCTATATATACAGTGGATATGTAAGGATGTGTGTGTGTGTGCGTGTGCAGACGTGTACTCTCTGCAGTCACTGATGTTGATTTACTTTTATTTAAATGTCCAAGAAATGTTCCAAAAAGCCAGGGGAGAAATTCAGTGAAAAATGAGTATAGTTCCAGCAGCAGAATCTGTGCAGGTGAGTCCAGACTCGTGGGCTGGTCCATGTCCACATCTCCTGCACTGGTTGCTAATGTCTTGAGGATTACAGCAGCAGTCTGCTCTATTAACCTACATTACATTAATGGTGACAGAAGACCCTGCCAAGACTGTGTGAGGGGAGCCTTCAGTAGGAGGGTGGACCTGGAGTTTACCATTTTCTGCTGTGATTTTAATTTTTTTTAAACATCCGGCTGCACGGGACTGGTTCCAACACGCATGTATACAGACGGGTGTCATTTTGCACACATGTCACGTTGCCAATAATACAGTGGGAACTCAAATTGATTCATGCAGTGCCAGCCACACCCAGCTATCAGTGTCTGCAAGGACACAGAGCTTCTTGTTTTTTTATATATATGTTTTTGTTTTGCAGCTCTCCACAGGTACCTTTGCTAAACCCCCGGCCCCTGGCCCTTTAACTGTCACTAAAAGATTCCAGCTGTGGCAGGCAGCAACTGTAGCTGCACTGAGGGGCCCCTGCCCCCCCACCCCTCCTTTGCACACACAGGAGCCACTGTTATAACCCTGTAAGTCAGCAGTCACAGCCCCATGTAACATTCAGGTGGGAAATTTCAAGCAAACAAGTTAAAAGGCAGGGAGGTTTACCATGAGAGACCCTCTGTAAATGTCCCTCTGGCCTTTTGTACTATATGTGTGTGCTCAGTGTCTCAGACATGCTCTGGAAACTAGGTGCCAGCTGCCCAACCAGTGCCTTATTTGTGTGTTTGTTTGCACCTGAGTTACCTATTTAGAGCAGCCCACAGACCGAGGCTCATGACTAGTTGATTCATGAAGCCCAGAGCTGGGGAGGGGACCGCAGCTGGAATCACGGTCTACTCTTTCACTGGCCTCTGTTTCACTGGTGCTTTGTCTGTAGAGTATCCAGTTACGTGCCGTTTAAATAAGACTCGATTTTACAAATGGGAAATGAAACATTAGCCAGTGTTCCCAGCAGCCAGGGGCACGGTGTGACTGGCCCAGCCACTGGACAGGTATTTAAATAATGTTTGTTTCCATTCACACCAGTAAATCTGGTTTCCGTCAACCCCGAGGGAGCGTTAGTGTGGATGTAGGCTGGAGAAGACTCCTCAGCTCTCAGTGATGACAGCACACACACAGGTGCAAATACTGAAACTGAAACACGCTCTCATAACTCAGTGCCTTATGGTTGGTGTTGAACTTCGTTCTATTTAAATACAATGTTATGAAGAAGTTTAAAAGTAGGAGTACAACTTTCTTTTGGTGTCCCCAGACTGTCACGAGACACACACCACTCTTGGCCTATTTTCCCTGGTACTTTGCTGGATTGCTTTATCCACTCTTGGTAAAAGCCTTATTCAGCTCTCAGCCTAAACTTGGCAGCAGTCGTTCACCTCTGCAGTGGCTCCGTGACTGCCCACCGGCTCCAGCGCTCCGATCAAGCACTGGGTGAGTTCTCAGGATGACATCAGACTGCTGGAATGTGCAATGAAGAGAGAATTAAGCAGGGGCAGTTTGGCCTGGAGGCATCTGGCAGCGGATGGTTAGAGATGGGGGTTGGAGAGAGTCTTGCTCATGTGTCAGACCACAATGAATGAGTCTGGTCACTTTGTCCAAACACATTCCTAGACCTGGGACAAACACAGCATGTGTGTGTGTGTGTTTACCTTACATTGGAGAAAGCCTAATCATCATGTTTGTCTGGCTTAGAGTGAAATTTAAAAGTAACTAGGACTTTCATACAAAGCAACAGTTTTCTAATATGAAATCAATGTCTTGAGTCATTTTATCGATGCACAGGAATGATGTCATGTGGTGTTCAGTAACCGAGACGCCAGCTGTATTTTTATCCTCTCCTTTCTTTTGTTAGTGATCATTTACAGTTAAATAAATTGCCACAGTGGAGGAGCGGTTGGTGCTCTTGCCATTCCCTAAGAAGGTCACTGGTTTGAGCCCTGGTGGTAACTAGTGGTTTATGCATAAAGTGCTTCGACTGGTTATAGGAGCATTAGCATTCTATTCTATTCTACAACACATTCTATCTATCTTCTTGCTTTGGTTCAGTGGATTCTCTCCAGGTATTTTCCAGTCCAAATCGATCACTTGTATGTTACTTTTACTTTCAATTGTTTAAAGCTACAGCTTATTCCTTACACAAACGTATGAACATCAGCATCTATTTTAGCTATCCACAGCTCTTTTCTTTGTTTCTGTCTGTTCTCATTCCTCCTTAACCACAGTATCTGTTTGTCCATTAGACAAGATTAGAATCATTATCCTGTGGTCATCTATTCTGTTTAACATTGGAAAACGTTCGTTTCAACTCTCTTCATACATTTTTAATCATTTTAAATCAGTTCAGTGTCATTTATGTGGTGTTTATTATTCTACAAACTCTAAGGATGATAATTAATGATAAATAATTGACCTGTTACTGCTTCGGACATTAACCCTTTGATTCCTCAGTCAGTTACATCACATATGTGACTTGATTCCCTTGCCTTCCATTTAAACCTCACTCGTCTGCTCCGTGTGTCCTCAGCTCCTTGTTTTTACGACTTCTTTAATCAATGGGGATTGTATTGACTCTCTGATTTTACACTCTGCCCTTGTGACTCATTTGTCAAATCAATTGGTCCTTTCAGATTTTTGCATTAAAACTAGGAACATGTTTGGATTCTCTGTTTTACAACATTTGCTTCTCCCCGGGGGCTGAATTATCAGCCATTAAAGGCTGAGGCTAACACGGCATCTGCAAATGACCGTGTTAGTGGGACAATGAAGGTCCTCCGGGCTCCTGCTGATTGTACTTCACCTACTGCATTCTTGATGCTGTGTTTGAACAGGTTTACAGCCTGGGTGATTCTTTATCTACAGTGTTGTTTGTTTGTTTGTTTGTTTTAAACTGTGGGTTAATTCTATAATTTTTTTATCTGCTTCTCTGCAGGCTGGGCAGTGAGCAGTGTTAGTGCACCATGGTGGAGCCAGAGCCAGAACAAATGGCCTGTGGTGCAGGACAGCGTCTGGGGGCCCCCGAGACACTTGGCATCAGTACATTGGACCCGGGGCACAGACCTCCAGCCATGCCCCCTGGGCGGCACGTTACCATCAGGGTCCGTATGCTGGACGACACAGAGGAGGTCTTTGACATCTCGGTGAGTTTTTATTGCAGTCACGCCTGCCGCCGTTCCCCACCGGGGGAGTACTCTTTCAGAAAGCCATGCTTTATGGTTGCTCAATAGCCGAGGAGCTTTTCCCATGTTCGTTATAGCGGCAGCGTGAGTCTGCTAACAGGTTGGCATGGCAACTGCATGATATTGAATGGATGGAAGAAACAGGGAAGATTTCTGTTTCCATAATTGTAAGGCTTTTTATGAAATAGTGCTATTACAAGTATGCTCATTTGATCTAATTGTTTTTCAGAATATCTTGTCCATAATATTTGCTATAATTATGTTGAAATATTATGTATTAGTGATGCAAACAATAAGGAGTCGATTTAATGTTAATGCAAATGGATAGACATAACAGAAAATGTCTATCTAATGATAAAAGTGGATAAAAAAGGATCTGAGAGTGATGATGATGATGATGATGATGAAGATGAGTCTCATAGAGAACTGCCGTATCGTGACCTTTAAAGGTTTTTATGTTTTATCTTTGTGCAGACAAACCTTGTGTAATTCATGACCTTTTCAAAAGTAATCTTTGGTCGGAAAACACTTTTTTTTTTAAAAATATCAATATTTTAACTGTGACTAAACTCAATCAAATTGATTAGTCAAAGGGACAAATACAGGCAAAAGGGCAAAAAGCAGACGTCAGAGCTCATAAAACTCATTTTATCATCAAAAAATCATTTTCCTATTCCTCTTGATGTGATGAGGAGATGTTTGATAAAGCTCCACCCTTTACCCCGGCCTTTCCCTGAACTCGTGGTGATATTTTGAAAGGTGTCCTCAGATCTTGATTTAATAGCAGAAACCCAGGGTGGAGTACGTGCAAAGGACTGTTATTTAGATGTAGCCATATTCCGAACCACATTCATCTTCGCCAAGAACAGAGGAGTGAGATGAGCGGTTGGACTGGAGGAATGTGGAGGTGGAGTGGTGATAGAGCAGCAGCAGCAGCAGCAGCAGCAGCAGCAGCAGCAGCAGCCACTGAGGACTCATTTCATGAGTATGAATTAGGTGTGGTTGTAAAGATGTTGAGCTACACTGACAGTTTGCCAGTGTGTGTGTTGTGGAGTGCAGGGTAGATACGACCACGGTTGCTTCACCTGAGGCATTATGGGTAAATGTCCAAAGGTAGCCATCTGTGCATGACTGCTAATCTACTGATGACTCACCTTGAGATCACGTTTGGTTGAACTCATTCAATCTATAATGGCTCGTGTGGCCCTGTGCTAAATGAGGCATAAATTCCCAATTTAGTATTTGGGCAACATAACAGAATATATATAAAAATGCTGTATCATCATTCTTTTCTGTTTGGAACAATTTAAGCCTTAAGACACTTAAAATCAAGGGCTGCATCTAGAATATAATGAAACACAAGCCAGCTGAGTAAGTAAAATAACTAAATCAAGGAGTCATATCAATATAAAGATAGTTATTTTCTTTATCAACATTCTTTTTGCCTTTACATATTTCACTGGCCTACCTGAAGTCTTTTATTACTGCAGTTATTATCCTCAATTCCCAAATGATAATATTAACAATAAAAAGACAATTAGAAGTGACACAGTGTGTAATTTGCCTTTCTCCCTCCTTTATGTTGGAGTGTAGCCATTAAATGTTTTTGTTAACTTAACAGAAATAAAATGGTCAGTAAACACACAAAAATGTGAAAAAAGATGTGTTTTAAAGACAGAGTGTTCTTTTATTTGGTAGATTTGACTTTGGTTGTGTCTCTGGGTAAAGAACGGCTGCAATAAAGTTACACTGGCTTTTAGGCTCATTTGGACAAATGTTTCACCAGAAGGATGACATAAAAGGCTCCGATGCAACGTCTTTTATCTAATGCATGTGTGTTGGTAGAAATGATGAGCAACATGGAACTTCTGGCTCTGCTGCAGGCAGACACAGTTCTGTTGTGGAGAAGAAGACATAAAGCTTTATTCATGCTCAATTTAACGCACATTAAATTCTCTGTCTCAAGTCAGCATTAAAGATAAAAATCTCAGTGGGTCTGATATTGTTTTTGCCTAGAGATGTTAGGGGAACACTTCCTTTCCTTATTATCTCATAAAAAAGGCAAAAACATGGAAAGTAATTGTCCTACATGCTGGGGACATTAACCCTCTGGAGACAAACTACATGAAGATACATCTTCTTGGAGGACTAACTCTACCTCAGACCTCAGCTTTTGTCTCTGTAAAGCCTGTCCTGGTTGACTGAATGTAGACTGACCATAAAAACTGGTCAAGATAGATTCAAATGGAATCTAAGCTAGTTCAACAAAAGTTCCACGAAAGATAGCTATCACATCCTGTAGCTAGTTTAAAAGTCTGAGAGTTTGCTAAAACCTTTACCATCAGGGTACAACATACAGTAGGTAAATGTTAGCAAAACACTGCAAAAACTTCAATACCTTAGCTATGAGCTAAAATCACTATATAAATGACACAAATGTTCTTCCAAATATTTTCAGTACACAAATGTACTGTATTGAGGCCATTGCTTAGGAAGTTCCACAAACTAAGATCGTAATTTGTCTTTAAGACAACACAAAAGTCCAAGCTCACCTTGTTACTGATATGGGAGGATCCAGCTGAGTCCTGTTTGGTTCACAGGGATAAGTTTCCACCTCAGCGGGCAGAGTATCACATGCTAGAGAAACAAAAAGAGGCCTGGGAGCCATCGGCTTGGTCACATACCATCCTGTGGCCTACTTAGCACCTTGGCTGCTAACAACACGATTGTGTTAATGTTTTCCTCCACAATCCTGGACAACAGACAACTGGGAACCGTTTGAATTGTTTCTGGTTGTATAGTCATTTTTGACAGCTTTTATGAGCGCAGTAGAGGCTGACACTGTCTGTGTGAATATTCTGATGTTTATCTTTGCTGACGACCGGAGGATGGACACAGACCTTGCCTGTGAAGCCAGTGATTCCAGCTCAGATTTAAGGAGGAGGATCAGGAGAGAGAAGGAGTGCTGCTCACTCATGTGGATTTCAGTTTAAATCAGTTTAGATGTAACAGCTTTATTAGTCTCTCGTGGGGCAATTACTAAAGAACAGAATAGCGATAACCATCAACAGTTTCCCCAGCCAGGTAGGCTGCACATAGAGCTGTTATTTGGTATAAAACAACAGAAAGCATGTGAAGGAAACCTTCACCATTTTAGGTAAATGTCAATAACGTGTAATAATGCTCTAATGACATTGAAAATAAAAATCCAGACATAACTTTAATTTTGTCTCTAACTACTAGGACACTCTGACTGCAGTCTGTCCTTGATAGAAATGATTTTATTCACTCCAGTCTTGCTTTTATAAGAGAAAAATAAAAACCAGAGTCAATATTTACAAACCTTCACATAAAGTCAAGCACAGTGTCATATATGTTTTTATAGATATTTTTTAAAATAGCATTAAGGTTTCATTCATTTTCTATATGTTAAGATCAAAGATCAATACCAAGGATTTAGTTTTAAAAAAAGTGTAGGTAATAATGTTAAACAAAATGTATTTTCTTTCATACTACTAAAATATTTCTGTGTTCCCAAAAAGGAAATAAAATTTGAAAATATATATACTATAAAAATGTACTATATATTGAATATACTGCATATACTGTACTAAGAATAGCAGTTATTAGAATCGTTTTTATGGAGACTCCACGTGTTCAGGTGACAAACCTCAGAGGTGTTATATACTGGCGGGCCAACCAACACATTTGATATGATCTGCTGGCCAGATTTGGCCCCCAGGCCTGAGTTTGACACACGTGGTATAGACTGACCAACTAGATAAAAACACAAAGACTGAAACTGTTTTTGTTTTTGTCTTCCAGTGTTTGTAACCAGCTTCATTTGGCCTGATTATGGCCAGAGAAAAAGAACATCTAATTTTTTTAACGCATCACCAAATAACAAAGTCATGTTTAGAGCAAAAACTATTTTTGAGATGCCAGGGCAGCAGGGACCAGCCGTGTTAAAGGGGCCGGGTAACAAAAAAATTGGACCTTCAGGCCTTAAAGCAGACCTTTGCACTAGTCAAGATGACTTCATCACATCTCTCACTGATCCTTTCCCCGTATACTGCCCAGCATTCTTTGTGCTGGGAAACAATTAGAGTGGCTCTACTGTGCCAATATTCCAAATGAATGGCAATGAGGTCCCAGCTTAATGAAAACGTGAAAACATGATGAAGGGTCTGGTTCAGTTTAGTTTGGACAAACCTCTGTGGACATTAAAAGCAGATTTGGTTCTAAAATTGTTGGTTGTCCCAGGTAACTAAAAAAAACACAAACCTTGGACTACCACTACCTGGCATTAATAAAGCATTAAGTTGGTGTCCTTTGTCAACTGGTCAGTGTATTACCACTGTGTCACTGTATAAGGTTTCCAGACACAGGTTTGTTTCTTTTTTTGTTTTGTTTTGTTGCCTTTTTGCGGATTAGGATATGTTTTTTTTGCCAACTTTTTTCCTTTACTAAGACATATTTGAGTTAATGTGAAATGATGTCAGTTTCCACAAACCACTGTATGTTATGTGCATTATCTAAAAGGCCAAACCAACCATAAAGACAAAACTCTGGAGTGAAGTTTGAGTAGATCTAGGGTAATTTAGGTTACAGTCCTTTTTAGGGCATCAGAAAGCTTTTTTTTTTCTTTAAGCTTGTTAATGAGACCAATATTGTAATGGTTAAGCCATAAGTAAATAATGTGGTTAATGTTGATAGGGACACTGCCCTCTGTTTGTAGTTTTTAATTTTTGCTTTCTTTAGTTTTCTCTCTGTTTTACAGCTAATTGGCCAGGTGAATCCAAATGGTTGCACCCATAGGCCAGCACCCGTAAATGGTAGTAATAAACGTCAGAGGGTGCGGAATTGTTGCTGTAACAAGAGAAGAAGTTTGCTGGGTGGTGTTAGCAAGATTAGCTTAGCTGAGCCTGGTGAGCAACACATTTTATTAGATAGGTATCTAG